TTTCGAGTTTTAAAATTTTGAATTTTTGAAGGTTCCACTTTTTGAAATTTTCTTTAATTTTACGATTTTGGACTTTTTCGATATTCCAACTTTTGAATTGTTCAATTTTTCGATTTTTCAATTTTCAGATTTCTCAATTTTTCGGTTTTTAGAAATTTTAATTTCTTGTTTATACAAATTTCATATTTTTCAGTTTCACAATTTTTCGATTTTTCAATGGTTCAATTTTTCAATTTCTGAATTTTCAAAATTTTCAATTTCTCGGTTTTTAGAAATTGTAGCTTTTCGTATTTTAATTTTTTGAGTTTTCAAATTTTGAAATTTGAAGGCTCCGGTTTTTGAATTTTTCATTAATTTTACGATTTTGAACATTTAGATTTAATCGATTTCAAATATTTACGATTTTAAAATTTTTAGAAATTGTACTTTTTCGTTTATTCAAGTTTGCAATTATCAAATTAAAAATGTTCAATTTTTCAATTGTATAATTTTTGGACACTTTAATTTTTCTTTCTTCAATTTTTCGGTTTCTCAATTTTTAATTTTTCGTTTTTCAATTTTGTCATTTTTTTCGTTTCTTTAATTTTACTACCTTTCAATTTTGGATGTTTCGATTATTAGTTTTTACAATTTTTCGATTTTCCATATTTTTTTTAATGTTTTCAAATTGATTGTTTTTTTTTTGAAGTTTTGGGTTTTTTCATTTTTCTTTTTCAATTTTTCAGTTTCTCAATTTTTAATCTTTAGGTTTTTAATTTTTCGTTACTTCAAGTTTTCAAATTAAAATTTGTCAAATTTTTAATATTTGAATTTTTCGTTTTTTAATCTTACAATTTATCAAGTTTGCAGCTTTCAAATTTTTCAATTTTTTTTTTGAATTTTTCGTTTGCCCAATTTTACTATTTATCTCTTGGATGTTTTAATTATTCGTCTTTTCAATTTTCCGGTTACTCAATTTTTAAGTTTTCACTTTATCAAATTTTCGATTTTTGAGTTTATTTTTCATATTTTGTTCCTTCAACTTTTCGTTTTTAATATTACGACTTTTTAATTTTTGCTTCTTCAAATTAATTTTTTTAATTTCGAACTCTTTGTTTTTTCATCCTACGATTTTTGAATTTTTCCTTCTTTAACTATGCGACATTACAATTTTAGATTTTTCAAATTTCTCAATTTCTCGGTTTTTAGAAATTGCAGCTTTTCGTTTTTTATTTTTCGAGTTTTAAAATTTTGAATTTTTGAAGGTTCCACTTTTTGAAATTTTCTTTAATTTTACGATTTTGGACTTTTTCGATATTCCAACTTTTGAATTGTTCAATCTTTCGATTTTTCAATTTTCAGATTTCTCAATTTTTCGGTTTTTAGAAATTTTAATTTCTTGTTTATTCAAGTTTCATATTTTTCAGTTTCACAATTTTTCGATTTTTCAATGGTTCAATTTTTCAATTTCTGAATTTTCAAAATTTTCAATTTCTCGGTTTTTAGAAATTGTAGCTTTTCGTTTTTGAATTTTTCATTAATTTTGCGATTTTAAACATTTAGATTTAATCGATTTCAAATTTTTACGATTTTAAAATATTTAGAAATTGTACTTTTTCGTTTATTCAAGTTTGCAATTATCAAATTAAAAATGTTCAATTTTTCAATTGTATAATTTTTGGACATTTTAATTTTTCTTTCTTCAATTTTTCGGTTTCTCAATTTTTAATTTTTCGTTTTTCAATTTTGTCATTTTTTCGTTTCTTTAATTTTACTACCTTTCAATTTTGGATGTTTCGATTATTAGTTTTTACAATTTTTCGATTTTCCATATTTTTTTTAATGTTTTCAAATTGATTGGTTTTTTTTTGAAGTTTTGGGTTTTTTCATTTTTCTTTTTCAATTTTTCAGTTTCTCAATTTTTAATCTTTAGGTTTTTAATTTTTCGTTACTTCAAGTTTTCAAATTAAAATTTGTCAAATTTTTAATATTTGAATTTTTCGTTTTTTAATCTTACAATTTATCAAGTTTGCAGCTTTCAAATTTTTCAATTTTTTTTTTGAATTTTTCGTTTGCCCAATTTTACTATTTATCTCTTGGATGTTTTAATTATTCGTCTTTTCAATTTTCCGGTTTCTCAATTTTTAAGTTTTCACTTTATCAAATTTTCGATTTTGGAGTTTATTTTTCATATTTTGTTCCTTCAACTTTTCGTTTTTAATATTACGATTTTTTAATTTTTGCTTCTTCAAATTAAATTTTTTAATTTCGAACTCTTTGTTTTTTCATCCTACGATTTTTGAATTTTTCCTTCTTTAACTATGCGACATTACAATTTTAGATTTTTCAAATTTCTCAATTTCTCGGTTTTTAGAAATTGCAGCTTTTCGTTTTTTATTTTTCGAGTTTTAAAATTTTGAATTTTTGAAGGTTCCACTTTTTGAAATTTTCTTTAATTTTACGATTTTGGACTTTTTCGATATTCCAACTTTTGAATTGTTCAATCTTTCGATTTTTCAATTTTCAGATTTCTCAATTTTTCGGTTTTTAGACATTTCAATTTCTTGTTTATTAAAGTTTCATATTTTTCAGTTTCACAATTTTTCGATTTTTCAATGGTTCAATTTTTCAATTTCTGAATTTTCAAAATTTTCAATTTCTCGGTTTTTAGAAATTGTAGCTTTTCGTTTTTTAATTTTTTGAGTTTTCAAATTTTGTAATTTGAAGGCTCCGGTTTTTGAATTTTTCATTAATTTTGCGATTTTGAACATTTAGATTTAATCGATTTCAAATTTTTACGATTTTAAAATTTTTAGAAATTGTACTTTTTCGTTTATTCAAGTTGCAATTATCAAATTAAAAATGTTCAATTTTTCAATTGTATAATTTTTGGACATTTTAATTTTTCTTTCTTCAATTTTTCGGTTTCTCAATTTTTAATTTTTCGTTTTTCAATTTTGTCATTTTTTCGTTTCTTTAATTTTACTACCTTTCAATTTTGGATGTTTCGATTATTAGTTTTTACAATTTTTCGATTTTCCATATTTTTTTTAATGTTTTCAAATTGATTGTTTTTTTTGAAGTTTTGGGTTTTTTCATTTTTCTTTTTTCAATTTTTAATTTTTCGTTCCTACAAGTTTTCAAATTAAAATTTGTCAAGTTTTCGATATTTGAATTTTTCGTTTTTTAATCTTACAATTTATCAAGTTTGCAGCTTTCAAATTTTTCAATTTTTTTTTCTTGAATTTTTCGTTTGCCCAATTTTACTATTTATCTCTTGGATGTTTTAATTATTCGTCTTTTCAATTTTCCGGTTTCTCAATTTTTAAGTTTTCACTTTATCAAATTTTCGATTTTTGAGTTTATTTTTCATATTTTGTTCCTTCAACTTTTCGTTTTTAATATTACGATTTTTTAATTTTTGCTTCTTCAAATTAAATTTTTTAATTTCGAACTCTTTGTTTTTTAATCCTACGATTTTTGAATTTTTCCTTCTTTAACTATGCGACATTACAATTTTAGATTTTTCAAATTTCTCAATTTCTCAGTTTTTAGAAATTGAAGCTTTTCGTTTTTTATTTTTCGAGTTTTAAAATTTTGAATTTTTGAAGGTTCCACTTTTTGAAATTTTCTTTAATTTTACGATTTTGGACTTTTTCGATATTCCAACTTTTGAATTGTTCAATCTTTCGATTTTTCAATTTTCAGATTTCTCAATTTTTCGGTTTTTAGAAATTTTAATTTCTTGTTTATTCAAGTTTCATATTTTTCAGTTTCATAATTTTTCGATTTTTCAATGTTTCAATTTTTCAATTTCTGAATTTTCAAAATTTTCAATTTCTCGGTTTTTAGAAATTGTAGCTTTTCGTTTTTTGATTTTTTGAGTTTTCAAATTTTGAAATTTGAAGGCGCCGGTTTTTGAATTTTTCATTAATTTTGCGATTTTGAACATTTAGATTTAATCGATTTCAAATTTTTACGATTTTAAAATTTTTAGAAATTGTACTTTTTCGTTTATTCAAGTTTGCAATTATCAAATTAAAAATGTTCAATTTTTCAATTGTATAATTTTTGGACATTTTAATTTTTCTTTCTTTAATTTTTCGGTTTCTCAATTTTTAATTTTGTCATTTTTTCGTTTCTTTAATTTTACTACCTTTCAATTTTGGATGTTTCGATTATTAGTTTTATTTTCAAATTGATTGTTTTTTTTGAAGTTTTGGGTTTTTCATTTTTGTTTTTTCAATTTTTCAGTTTTTCAATTTTTAATTCTTTAGGTTTTTAATTTTTCGTTACTTCAACTTTTCGAATTTTCAAATTAAAATTTGTCAAGTTTTCAATGTTTGAATTTTTCGTTTTTTAATCTTACAATTTATCAAAGTTTGCAGTTTTCAAATTTTTCAATTTTTTACTTCTTGAATTTTTCGTTTGCCCAATTTTACTATTTGTCTTTTGGATGTTTTAATTATTCGTCTTTTCAATCTTTCGGTTTCTTAATTTTTATGTTTTCACTTTTTCAAATTTTCGATTTTTGAGTTTATTTTTCATATTTTGTTGCTTCAACTTTTCGTTTTTAATATTCTCGTTTATTCAAGTTTCATATTTTTCAGTTTTACAATTTTTCGATTTTTCAATGGTTCAATTTCAAAATCACGATTTGAAATTCTTCATTTGTTCAAGGTTTCGATTTTTCAATTTTTGGGTATTTTAATTTTTAAAACACGAACTTTTAAAACAGTACAAGCTTTCTCAACCTGCAAAATTCGGACAACTTTTTAATATTTTGAAAAAGAAAAAACAAACAAAAGTTTCTCAAAAATATAGAAATTTTGAAAAACTAAAAATACGAAAACGAAAATTTTTGTTCAAAAAAACAAAAATTCCTCAAAACACTATTTATCTACTAACAGTTCCTACCGATCGTGTTCATCCAAAAAGAAATTCAAATATTTAATAATAATCAACACGAAGCTAAATCTCGCTAAAAAACCCATGTGGTACATGGAAGAACACCATTAACATTTCTTCAAACATAATGCGTTTACTGACCTAGTAACAATTTATTAACCAACAAAGGTTTCAAAATGATCTCAATACCCGCCAATTGTACAAAAAACGTCAAAACGGCGATGACATTGACACTGACGTCCAGTGACACATTACCACCCAGAAAAACACCCAAAGGTCAACACCCAACCGGAAGATTTCGCAACCCAAACCGCGAAGAAAGTGAAGAGATGATGGACAACACGTTACATTACGCCAGAGATCTTCACCGGGGGCCACCAAAGCCACCTTCCACCATCTTAAATGGCCAAAAATTCAAACCACTCTCAGTCTTCGCCGGAACATCTTCAAGACCAGTGAGAGTTCGTGCTTCCACTGACATTAACTTGTAAAAGTTAGGCAACGTTAGGCGAAATTGAGCCATGAAGACGCTGCTGGTTCTAGTAGCGCTAGTAGCCTCCACCACGTGCCAACTGCGCTTCTCCATCTCCTTGGAGAATCTCCTCCAGGAGGAATGGATGGCCTTCAAGGTAATTACAGAACCATTTGGAATTATTTTAATTGTCACTCTCCTCCAGCTCACGTATAACAAAAGCTACCGCTCCCCGGAAGAAGAAACCTTCCGCAGGGAAGTCTTCATCGAAAACCGTCACAAAATCGCCAGATTTAACCAGGAGTACGGTCGGGGTCAGTGGAGTTTCGTCCAACAGTTGAACAACTTCGCCGACATGCTCAACCACGAGTTCCACCGGGCCCTGAACGGGTTCAACATAACTTTAAGGTCCAGGGTGGCTATTCCCACCCCCACTACTTTCATCCCCAGCGCCAACGTGATCTTCCCGGACTATGTCGACTGGAGGGAAGCTGGGGCTGTAACCCGGGTCAAAAACCAGGGGTTGTGTGCGTCGTGTTGGGCCTTCAGCGCGGTGAGTACGATAAATCGATAATCGAGTGGCACGTGATCGCGGACGATCGCACGGAAATCGGTCCGCCGGGTTTCGACACCTACAATTATTACGCAAGAATTTTCAGATTTTCCCAAGATATTGTTAATTTAGAGCTCGATTACGAAATCGTTCTCACAGAAAATTAACATAATGAGAGAGAAGATCCGTCGTTTTATAGTAGGCTTTGTATTTTTGGGAATGAGAGTGTGTTTATTATAGTTAAGAGGTGTTGGGATTTTCTGAAAGCTTTTAAGGTTACTTCACATGACGAATGCATGCCTTGGTTGACAATGACCAATCGAACGAATTACTTAAATAGTGCGAATGTAATCAAGGTGAAGAGGTAATAGGTAAACACTTGTGGAGTTGAGTAAATGGAGATTGTAATCTCGCACTTCCCGTGCTTTATCTGATTGTTCTTGGGATGACTTTGATTTTTTGGAACGGACTTTTGACGAAAAAAATAAAGATCTTGAATAGAATCGGACATTCTTGAAGAGTGATACAATGAAAAAATCGGTTGGTATTTCTAGTGAATGCACTTAAGTCACTTCACTTTGTTTACTCGAGTGAGTGTTGATGATTTTTTTGCATGAATAGTTTACAACTGGAGTGATCTGATTGGATTTCTATTTAAAGATTTCCAAGGCGAATTAAATTAAAAGGTGGACTTCGTGGCAATTTTAAAAATTCGTCATTTTTTTCTAATGAATAATAATAATATCTTAGTTTACATTTATCTTCATGTTTCAAACCCCCCATTTTTTTTCAGTTGTTACAAAATGTAGAAAAAAAATGTCAAAATTGAAGAATATTAAACTTTTCCAAAAAAACTTCAAAAATTGAAAAATAATAAAAATTGAGTCTCAGGTACTTCAAAATTGATATAATTAACTTCAAAATGTTCAAGCGACATCTTATTACTCTTTCAGTTTTCGAAAATTATACGAAAAATATTTTTTCAAAATTTTCGAAAATTCGTCAAAAATTCTCACTTTTTTTAATAAAATGAGTTGTAATCGGCTGTTTACAGCTTTAAATTCGACGATTTTTTTCAAAAAACCGACTTCTACGATTCAAAATTCCCACATTTGTCCGTTGAAATTTTAAAACTTATTTATAGAAATGACAAATTGTCTCTGGAAGCTTGGTCTCACAATTTTCAAAAAATGGAATATTTACAAAAAAGTTCGCACTGTGAACTTTGCCAACATTTTGAAAAGTAATTTTCCAAAAATTCAAATTTTCACAAGTTGAAAAAATAAAAAACTGAATTACCAAACAGTCAATATTAGAAAAAAATTGGTCGCCAGCGGAAAATTTTTCGTTTCTTCAACAATACGATTTTACAATTTTTGATTTGTTTTTAATTTTTCGAGTGTAGGTTTCACGTTTTGAATTTTTCTTTCATTCTGATTTTGCAATTTTCCAATTTTGATTTTTAATTTTTCATTTCTTCAGCTACATATATGATTTTGTAATTTTCGATTTTTCAGTACATATTTTTGTTTTTAATTTTTCGATTTTTGAAATTCCTCAATTTCTCGGTTTTTAGAAATTGTAGTTTTTCGTTTTTCAATTTTTGGAGTTTTGAAAGTTTGAATTTTCAAGGTTTCAGTTTTTGCAATTTTCTTTAATTCTGATTTTGCAATTTTCCAATTTAAATTTTTGGTTCTTTTAATTTTACGATTTGTTACCTTTTAGATTTGACCGCTTTGAAATTTTCGATTTTTCAACTTTTGGACATTTTAATTTTTCGTTTTTCCATTTGTCAGTTTTTAATTTTTCGATTTTCCAATTTTTAGATTTTTTTACTTTTTTTCCAATCTTCAGCTTAAAATTTTTAGACTTTTCAAGTTTTGGATTTTTTGATTTTTGGTTTTCAATTTTTTGATTTTTCAGTTTTCCAATTTTTTAATTGTTCAGTTTTTAATTTTTCGTTTTGTTAGTACTACGATTTTTCAATTCTGCCAATTCTGCTTCTTGAACTTTTCAAATTCTAATTTTTCAGTTTTTTATTTTTGAATTTTTCGTTTCTTTGTATTGTAGTTTTAGATATTTGTTTTCAACTTTCCAATTTTTTTCTCAAGTTTTAAATTTTGTAATTTTTCATTTTTCAATTTCTTGATTTTTGGTTTTTTCAATGGTTTGATTTTTCAGTCTTCCAATTTTTAATTATTCAGTTTTTTAAATTTTGTTTCTTCAACTTTTTCAGTTTTCAATTTAAAATTTTTTAATTTTCCAATTTTTCGTTTTTTAATCCTAAGATTTTTCAGTGTTTGCTTCTCGAGCTTTGCAAATTTTAATTCTTCTATTTTTTGATTTTTGAATTTTCGTTTTTTCAACTACGTATATGATTTTACAATTTTCGATTTTTCAATTTTTGTAGTTTTTGAAAGTTTGAATTTTTCGAGGTTTCAGTTTTTAAATTTTTCTTTAATTCTGATTTTGCAATTTTCCAATTAAAATTTTTGTTTTTTTTTAATATTACGATTTGGTACTTTTTAGATTTCAGCGTTTTTCAAATTTTCGATTTTTGGACATTTTAATTTTTCGTTTTTCCGTTCGTCAGTTAGTCAGTTTTTAATTTTTCGTTTCAATTTTTCAATATTTTTTTCAACTTTCCATTGTTTTTTTGCCAGTCTTCAGATTAAAATTTTTAGACTTTTCAAGTTTTGGATTTTGTAATTTTTGGTTTTTTCAATTTTTTGATTTTTCAGTTTTCCAATTTTTAATTATTCATTTTTTTAGTTTTTCGTTCCTTCAACTTTTCCAGTTTTAATTTAAATTTTTTTAACTTTCCACTTTTTTGTTTTTTAATCCTACGCTTTTCAGTGTTTTTGCTTCTCGAGCTTTTCAAATTTTAATTCTTCAATTTTTTGATTTTTTAATTTTCGTTTCTTCAACTACTTATATGATTCTACAATTTTCGATTTTTCAATATTTGTTTTTAATTTTTCGTTTTTTTTAGAAATTGTAGTTTTCCGTTTTTAAATTTTTCTTTAATTCTGATTTTGCAACTTTCCAATTAAAATTTTTGATTTTTCTAATATTACGATTTGATACTTTTTAGATTTCAGCGTTTTTCAAATTTTCGATTTTTGGACATTTTAATTTTTCATGTTTCCGTTGGTCAGTTTGTCAGTTTTTAATTTTTCGTTTCTTCAATTTTTCAATATTTTTTTCAAGTTTCCATTTTTTATTTTTTTTTTTAAGTTTCCAGATTGAAATTTTTCGACTTTTCAAGTTTTGGATTTTTCAATTTTTCATTTTTTCGTTGTTTAAATACCATGATTTTTCAGTGTTTTCAAATTTTCATTTGTCAATTTTTTGATTTTTGAATATTTCGTTTCTTGAACTATGTATATGATTTTGCAATTTTCGATATTTCAATATTTATGTTTTTAATTTTTCCTCAATTTCTGGGTTTTTAGAAACTGTAGTTTTTGAAATTTTCTTTAATTCCGATTTTGCAATTTTCCAATTTAAATTTTTGGTTCTTTTATTTTACAATTTGATCGCTTTTTAAATTTTCGATTTTTCAATTTTTGGACATTCTAATTTTTCGTTTTTCCAATTTTTAGCTATTTTTTTCAATTTTCCGTTTTTTTTCAAGTTTTCAAATTAAAAATTTTCAACCTTTCAAGTTTTCAAATTTTAATTTTTCAATTTTTTGATTTTTCGTTTCTTCATCTAAACATGTACATATATATGATTTTTCAATATTGGCGATTTGGTACTTTTTAGATTTTACCACTTTCCAAATTTTCGAGTTTTCAAATATTGGACGTTTTAATGGTTCGTTTCAGTCATTTTTCAAACAAATTTTTAAAATTTTTAGTTTTCTCAATTTTTCAACTTCATAATTTTTGGACATTTTAATTTTTCGTTTTTCAAATTTTAATTTTTATATATAATAATAATAAATAGCCAATATTAAAAAAAAGACGGTTATGTCGAAGAAGTACAAAATTTCTGAAAAACAATAGCAGGAACGCAAAATAAAATAATTTTAAAATTAAATTATTCTAATTGTCCAAAAATCTAAAATAATAAAAATTTGATTCAATAACAATCAAAATTTAACGTTGACTTGGCGAAAATTTTTGAAAAAGTCACGAACTGTTTGAAAATTTGAAAAGTAAGAAAAAAACTAAAACCAAAATTCGTCAAAATTTCCCACTTTTTGAATAATAATAAATGTTTTTTTAATAATAAAAATTTGATTCACTATAAGAATTTAAAATTCAAAAAACGACAAAAATTTTCAAAATTTGAAAAATGTATATAACAAAAACCTGACTTTACTAATCAATATTTAAAAAACAAGAAATTTAAATATCAATCGAAAACTTTTTTACTCTGCAGTTTTGAAACTTCGTCAAAATTTCCGAGTTTTTTTTTAATAAGCCGAAATTCTGTTTTTGTTCAAGCCGCAGTCGATTGTTTCCAAAAGTACAAAACGTCTCAAAAAACAACAGCGTAAAAAATCCAAAATAATAAAAATTTGATTCACCAAGAATTCAAAATTTATTTAAAAAAATGACAAAAATGTCCTTGGGAGCTCCCGTTATCCATCCAATTTTCGAAAATTTCAAAATGTACAAAAACGACTAATGCAACGTTAACTTTGCCAAAAGTTTTACTTTTCCAAAAGTCGAAATCTTCAAAATTGAAAAATAACTAAATTTAGTTTAAAAACTACGAAATTTAGATAATTAACGTAAATTTTTTTGCTCTCTAATTTTTGAAAATTCGTCAATATTTTGCCACTTTTTTAAATAAACCGAAAATAGTCTATTATGACAAAATGTCCTTAGGACCCCTGTTATCCAGTTTGTCAAAATTGGAAACGTAGAAGCAATATTGCAAAATCCAAATTATCAAAATTTTCAAAAAATACTTTAACAAAAAACGAAATTTTCAAAAATTTTATAATTATGAAATTGAATTCAATATTAAAAGAACAAAAATTAAACAATAAATGCTCTTTAATTTTTGAAAATTCGTCAAAATTTCTCACTTTTTTAATAAACTGAAAAACAGTTCCATTGTTACGAAAAGTAGAAAATGTCTAAAAATAATAGCATAAACGTGAAATAAAATTGTTTCCATTTTCCAAAAATCGCAAAATAAACATGCATTCACTAAAAATTAAAAAATTACATGTAGGTAATATCCGTTCGCAAAACTCCCGCACTGTCAGTGTCAGATTTGGAAAAAATGACCTGAGTGTACTCAGTGGTGAGATGCGAAAAACCTGTACAATATGTTGCAAAATTGCAATCCAGTGACAAATTAGTGACTAAAAATAACTTGTCAAATAAAAATGTCAAAAGCACATTAATTGAAGATTTTTATCAATGCAAATAAAGAAAGAGTATGACACACGAACGACAACGAAAGCTTTTTTTGAATAATATATATTTTTGACTTTACTGTCCACTTCTACGCTTCTGGTGCTACAATTTGTTTGAATTACTGACAAGTTCTTTAAACACATTGAACACTTCAGCAACTCAAAAAGGTAAAATAGTTAATAAACATTTGATTTATCATTCATTAATTTTGAAAATTTGAAATTCAAGGCGGTAATCATATAAACTTAAAAATCTTTTAGGGGATTATTTCTCATACCAACGGAATGTCATTCTGACAGTGCGGGAGTTTTGCGAACGGATATTATAAAAATTATTGCAACCTTGACTTTGCCAAAATTTTTAAAAAACACTTCAATTTTGAAAATGAATGTATGTATTTTTTTAAGCTAGACAAACTTCCAAAAATCAAAAATTATAAAATGTATATCTAAACGTGAATTTTGTGAACAATTTTGAAATTTTTTTTTCAAAAATCGGAATTTTGAAAAACTGAAAAATAAAATCAAACTCCAAAAACCGACGTTTTCAGGCTGGCGCCCTCGAGGGCCACACTTTCCGCAAAACCGGCCGCCTCCCCGAGCTCAGCCCCCAAAACCTCATGGACTGCAGCAAATCCTTCGGGACCGACAGCTGTCAAGGCGGCCTCATGGACCCCGCATTCGAATACGTCCGAACCAACCCTGGAATCGACATCGAAAGCGCCTACCCCTACGAAGCCAGGGACGGACCGTGTAGATTCCTACCAGAAGCGGTGGGCGCACAATGCACAGGTAAAACCGTAAAAAAGACCCAAAATTAACATTTACTAACGATTAAAAAATGGCAGGATACGTCGACATAGCTCCAGGGGACGAAAAGGGTCTGGAAGCGGCCGTGGCCACCATCGGTCCCGTTTCGGCCGCCATGGACGCGGGACGGGAGACCTTCCAGTTTTACTCGGATGGGATATACTACGACCCACAGTGCGGGAACAGCGAGGAGGCGGTCAACCATGCGGTGTTGGTGGTGGGGTATGGGACGGAACCCAGCGGCCAGAAGTACTGGTTGATCAAGAATTCGTATGGGCCGCAATGGGGGGTTGGGGGCTATTTGAAACTAGCCAAGGAGGCGAATAACCATTGCGGGATAGCGACCATTGCAAGCTACCCCCTTGTCTAGCTTAATAATAAATAACAATAAATTATTTTAGGATACGGGTTGTTTCATTTGTGGAAATTCCACAACTGTACCGGATTATAGACACAGTTGAACTTTATTATCGTGAATTTTAATTGAATAAATAGTGTCTTGGAAGCAATTAAATCTATAATTGAGAGTTTAATTGGCGATGACAACATTTCAGCAAAGAGTGGCCTTCTGAAACAACAGACGCTACTTCACCTTCACTATTATAAAATTTATGGATAAAAAATAATTTCTTATTAACGCATTAAATATGTTGCACATTATTGCAAAATAGTTAGGAAGAATTAACTTGAGAGGAAAGTTTTTTTGAACACGGCACGCTGTCAATTCTGTGTCAGTCGGTTATATATTCTTATCAAGGTCATTTAATAATAGTCGATAATGACTCTCGAGAAAAAAAAATGAGAATTGAACGTCGCATTCAAATCAGACGACTTCAGATTATTATCGGCACTCGAAAACGTGTGAATAGGCTTTTAAGTCATAAAAGAGGCTGTAAATGTTATCACCACTTTAGAAAAATTGATTTTGATGTCTTGTGGAGATAATCTGTGATTACGTGAGAAGTGCCAAGTTAGACTACAATGTGAAAGCTTATTAATTAATTTTATATCTGATGTGTAACGTTGGAAGATTTTCTAGATGTTTTCGATATGACAAATTGCATTCCGGAGCTTTTTCGAATTTTTCATTTTTTTCGATTTTTAATTTTTCCATTTTTCTACTTTTCGAATCAAAAAAATGGAAAAATTAAAAGAACAAAATTTGAGAAAGTTGAAAATCGAAAAAAGGAAATATTGTAAAATCGAAATATTGAAAATTATAAAATGAAAAAACGAAAAATTGTGATGTCAAAAAATTATAGAATCGTCAAAATTGTAAAGTCGAAAAAATGTCACACTGAGACATTTTAAATCGAAAAATTACAAGATCTTTTTTTTGCTCCTTCAGTTTTTCGAGTTTTCAAGTTAAAATTTTTCAACTTTTCCATTCAATTTCTAGATTTTGCAATTTTTTTATTTGAGTTTCTCGAGTTTTCACTTTTAATTTTCTTTATTTTTACAATTCTTCAATGTTCCGATTTTATAATTGTTTGTTTTTTCAATTTTTCGGCATTCCGCAGCTTTTTTGAATTTTTCATATTTTTTCGATTTTTAATTTTTCCATTTTTCTACTTTTCGAATCAAAAAAATGGAACAATTAAAAGAATAAAATTTGAGAAAGTTGAAAATCGAAATATTGAAAATTATAAAATGAAAAAACGAAAAATTGTGATATCAAAAAATTATAGAATCGTCAAAATTGTAAAGTCGAAAAAATGTCACATTGAGACATTTTAAATCGAAAAGTTACAAGATCTTTTTTTTGCTTCTTCAGTTTTTCGAGTTTTCAAGTTCAAATTTTTCAACTTTTCCATTCAATTTCTAGACTTTGCAATTTTTTTATTTGAGTTTATCGAGTTTTCACTTTTTAATTTTCTTTATTTTTACAATTCTTCAATGTTCCGATTTTATAATTGTTTGTTTTTTCAATTTTTCGGCATTCCGCAGCTTTTTTGAATTTTTCATATTTTTTAAATTTTTAATTTTTCCATTTTTCTACTTTTCGAATCAAAAAAATGGAAAAATTAAAAGAATAAAATTTGAGAAAGTTGAAAATCGAAAAAAGGAAATATTGTAAAATCGAAATATTGAAAATTATAAAATGAAAAAACGAAAAATTGTGATATCAAAAAATTATAGAATCGCCAAAATTGTAAAGTCGAAAAAATGTCACATTGAGACATTTTAAATCGAAAAATTACAAGATCTTTTTTTTGCTCCTTCAGTTTTTCGAGTTTTCAAGTTCAAATTTTTCAACTTTTCCATTCAATTTCTAGATTTTGCAATTTTTGTATTTGAGTTAATCGAGTTTTCACTTTTTAATTTTCTTTATTTTTACAATTCTTCAATGTTCCGATTTTATAATTGTTTGTTTTCTCAATTTTTCGGCATTCCGCAGCTTTTTTGAATTTTTCATATTTTTTCGATTTTTAATTTTTCCATTTTTCTACTTTTCGAATCAAAAAAATGGAAAAATTGAAAGAATAAAATTTGAGAAAGTTGAAAATTGAAAAAAGGAAATATTGTAAAATCGAAATATTGAAAATTATAAAATGAAAAAACGAAAAATTGTGATATCAAAAAATTATAGAACCGTCAAAATTGTAAAGTCGAAAAAATGTCACATTGAGACATTTTAAATCGAAAAATTACAAGATCTTTTTTTGCTCCTTCAGTTTTTCGAGTTTTCAAGTTCAAATTTTTCAACTTTTCCATTCAATTTCTAGATTTTGCATTTTTTTTATTTGAGTTTCTCGAGTTTTCACTTTTTAATTTTCTTTATTTTTACAATTCTTCAATGTTCCGATTTTATAATTGTTTGTTTTTTCAATTTTTCGGCATTCCGCAGCTTTTTTGAATTTTTCATATTTTTTCGATTTTTAATTTTTCCATTTTTCTACTTTTCGAATCAAAAAAATGGAAAAATTGAAAGAATAAAAATTGAGAAAGTTGAAAATTGAAAAAAGGAAATATTGTAAAATCGAAATATTGAAAATTATAAAATGAAAATGAAAAAACGAAAAACTGTGATATCAAAAAATTATAGAATCCTCAAAACTGTAAAGTCGAAAAAATGTCACATTGAGACATTTTAAATCGAAAAATTACACGATCTTTTTTTGCTCCTTCAGTTTTTCGAGTTTTCAAGTTCAAATTTTTTCGACTTGAAATTTCACGAGTTTTCAATTTTTTGAAAGAAAACTACGTATATAAAGAAAAAAAAACAAGCATTCAGCACAATTGCGAAGGGGTGGGTGGGCGGGGTTTATATTTTGTTCATTTTTCCTTAACATACGAAATCTTCTTTTCCCAACAAGAAACTGAAAACAAGAAGTAGTTTTCAATATTTAAAAGATCTTTTTTTTGCAATCGAAGATTCTCAAAATTGTAAACATTTCAAAATTCAGAAATACTTTGAAATGTGGAATGAACTAAATAATTTTTTAACATACTTGGTTTAAAATCTTTGAAGCAATCTACCTATGTTCCAAGAAAGATTTTTTTAAATATCGATGATCTTGGTTTGGAGAAATTTTGAAATTTTCAAAAATTTTGACATTTAGAAAAACCTGGACGACGATAAACCAAAAAATAACATTTTTATCATCTTAGGTTTCCACAACTTTGACACAACTTCGGCGTGTTAGAAAACCGCAAATTTTGAAAACAGCGAAAATCTTCAATTTTTTGATTTTTGAATTTTCGTTTCTTCAACTACGTATATGACTTTACAATTTTCGATTTTTCAATATTTGTTTTTAATTTTTCGTGTTTTTTTTAGAAATCGTAGTTTTCCATTTTTAAATTTTTCTTTAATTTTGATTTTGCAACTTTCCAATTAAAATTTTTGTTTTTTTAATATTACGATTTGAAACTTTCAGCGTTTTTCAAATTTTCGATTTTTGGACATTTTAATTTTTCGTTTTTTCGTTCGTCAGTTTTTAATTTTTCGTTTCTTCAATTTTTCAATATTTTTCAAGTTTCCATTTTTTATTTTTTTTTCAATTTTCCATTTGTCAATTTTTTGATTTTGCAATTTTCGATTTTTCAATATTTATGTTTTTAATTTTTCCTCAATTTCTGGGTTTTTAGAAATTGTAGTTTTTCGTTTATCCAATTTTTGAATTTTTCTTTAATTCCGATTTTGTAATTTTCCAATTTAAAATTTTATTTCTTTTATTTTACAATTTCATCGCTTATCAAATTTTCGATTTTTCAATTTTTGGACATTTTATTTTTTCGTTTTTCCAATTTTTAGCTATTTTTTCAACTTTCCATTTTTTTTCAAGTTTTCAGATTAAAAATTTTCGACTTTTCAAGTTTTCAAATTTGAATTTTTGAATGTTTTTGATTTTTGAATTTTTCGTTTCTTCAACAATGTACATATAGATATGATTTTTCAATTTTCGATTTTTCAATATTGGCGATTTGGTACTTTTCAGATTTTACCACTTTCCAAATTTTCGAGTATTCAAATATTGGACAAATGCTTCGTTTCAGTAATTTCTCAAATAAATTTTTTAAATTTTTACTTTTCTCAATTTTTCAACTTCATAATTTTTGGACATTTTAATTTTTCGTTTCAATTTTTAATTTTTATATATAATAAATGGTCAATAGTAAAAAAAAATGGTAGACGCTTATGTCGGAGAAGTACAAAATTTCTCAAAAACAATTGCAGAAACGCAAAATAAAATGATTTTAAAATTAAATCATTCTAATCGTCCAAAAATCCTAAATAATAAAAACTTGATCCACTAACAATAAAAATTTAACGTTAACTGGCGAAAATTCTAGAAAAGTTATTTTTTTTTTAAATCACGAACTGTTTGAAAATTTGAAAACTAAGAAAAACCTAAAACGAAAATTCGTCAAAATTTCGCACTTTTTTAATAATAATAAATGTTTTTTTAATAATAAAAATTGTATTCACTAAGAATTAAAAATTCAAAAAACGACAAAAATTTTCGACTTGAAATTTCACGAGTTTTCAATTTTTAATTTTCGATTTTTTGAAAGAAAACTACGTATATAAGAAAAAAAAAACATTAAGCCCCACCCACCCGCCCCGATCTCAATTGTGATGAGTTTCATTTGATAATTTCTTGTAGAGAAATGAGAATTTTGCAACTAAACTCGGCCCTATTTTGTTCATTTTTCCTTAACATACGAAGTCTTCTTTTCCCAACAAGAAACTGAAAACGAGAAGTAGTTTTCAATATTTAAAAGATCTTTTTTTTTGCAATCGAAGATTCTTAAAATTGTAAATATTTCCAAAATTCAGAAATACTTTGAAATGTGGAATGAACTAAATAATTTTTTAACATACTTGGTTTAAAATCTTTGAAGCAATCTACCTATGTTCCAAGAAAGATTTTTTTAAATATCGACGATCTTGGTTTGGAGAAATTTTGAAATTTTCAAAAATTTTGACATTTAGAAAAACCTCGACGACGATAAACCAAAAAATAACATTTTTATCATCTTAGGTTTCCACAACTTTAACACAACTTCGGCGTGTTAGAAAATCGCAAATTTTGAAAACAGCGAAAATCTTCAATTTTTTGATTTTTGAATTTTCGTTTCTTCAACTACGTATATGACTTTACAATTTTCGATTTTTCAATATTTGTTTTTAATTTTTCGTGTTTTTTTTTAGGTAAATCGTAGTTTTCCGTTTTTAAATTTTTCTTTAATTTTGATTTTGCAACTTTCCAATTAAAATTTTTGCTTTTTTTAATATTACGATTTAAAACTTTTTAGATTTCAGCGTTTTTCAAATTTTCGATTTTTGGACATTTTAATTTTTCGTTTTTTCGTTCGTCAGTTTTTAATTTTTCGTTTCTTCAATTTTTCAATATTTTTCAAGTTTCCATTTTTTATTTTTTTTTCAATTTTCCATTTGTCAATTTTTTGATTTTGCAATTTTCGATTTTTCAATATTTATGTTTTTAATTTTTCCTCAATTTCTGGGTTTTTAGAAATTGTAGTTTTTCGTTTATCCAATTTTTAAATTTTTCTTTAATTCCGATTTTGTAATATTCCAATTTAAATTTTTATTTCTTTTATTTTACAACTTCAGCGCTTTTCAAATTTTCGATTTTTCAATTTTTGGACATTTTAATTTTTCGTTTTTCCAATTTTTAGCTATTTTTTCAACTTTCCATTTTTTGTCAAGTTTTCAGATTAAAAATTTTCGACTTTTCAAGTTTTCAAATTTGAATTTTTGAATGTTTTTGATTTTTGAATTTTTCGTTTCTTCAACAATGTACATATATATATATGATTTTTCAATTTTCGATTTTTCAATATTGGCGATTTGGTACTTTTCAGATTTTACCACATTTCAAATATTGGAAATGCTTCGTTTCAGTAATTTTTCAAATGAATTTTTAAAATTTTTAGTTTTCTCAATTTTTCAACTTCATAATTTTTGGACATTTTAATTTTTCGTTTCAATTTTTAATTTTTATATATAATAAATGGTCAATAGTAAAAAAAAATTGGTAGACGCTCATGTCGGAGAAGTACAAAATTTCTCAAAAACAATAGCAGAAACGCAAAATAAAATAATTTTAAAATTAAATTATTCTAATCGTCCAAAAATCCTAAATAATAAAAACTTGATCCACTAACAATCAAAATTTAACGTTAACTGGCGAAAATTTTAGAAAAATTTTTATTTTTTTTAAATCACGAACTGTTTGAAAATTTGAAAACTAAGAAAAACCTAAAACGAAAATTCGTCAAAATGTCGCACTTTTTTAATAATAATAAATGTTTTTTTAATAATAAAAATTGTATTCACTAAGAATTAAAAATTCAAAAAACGACAAAAATTTTCGACTTGAAGTTTCACGAGTTTTCAATTTTTAATTTTCAATTTTTTGAAAGAAAACTACGTATATAAGGAAAAACATTAAGCCCCACCCACCCGCCCCGATCTCAATTGTGATGAGTTTCATTTGATAATTTCTCTCCGCCCTTCAGCTCACGATGAATAAAACATTCATTACAATTGAGAAGGGGTGGGTGGGCGGGGATTATATTTTGTCCATTTTTTCTTAATATACAAAGTCTCCTTTTCTCACCAAGAAACTGAAAACATGTTTAACTATCCTGTGGTAGAAAGAAAACTATATATTAAAAAAAAAACAAAGATTAAGCACCGCCTACCCGCCACAATCTCAATTATGGTGATTTTCATATGATAATTTCTTGCAGAGAAACGAGGATTTTGTAACTAAACTCCGCCCTTCAGCTCACAATGAATAAAACATTCATCACAATTGAGAAGGGGTGGGTGGGCGGTGTTTATATTTTGTTCATTTTTTCTTATTATACAAAGTCTCCTTTTCCCAACTAGAAACTGAAACATGTTTAACTTTCCTGTTGTTGAAAGAAAACTCTATATATTAAAAAAATACGAAGATTAAGCCCCACCCACCCACCCGCCCCGATCTCAATTGTGATGAGTTTCATATGATAATTTCTTGCAGAGAAATGAGGATTTTGTTACTAAACTCCGTCCTTTAACTCACAATGAATAAAATATACGTCACAATTGAGAAGGGGTGGGTGGGCGGGGTTTATATTTTGTCCATTTTTTCTTAATATACGAAGACTTCTTTTCCCAACAAGAAACTGAAAAGATGTTTAACTATCCTGTTGTTGAAAGAAAACTATGTATATAAAAAAGAACAAAGATTAAGCCCCACCCACCCGCCCCAATCTCAAGTGTGATTAATTTTTCATTCTTTGTTAAACTGAGGGGCATAATAGCGTAATTGCAAAATACATATTTCTCTATTGATTTGAATGAGTTTGCCTTCTCAAAGCAAAGGACTAAAATTATTAATTAAACTAAAATCAAACAAAATGTTATAAGGGACAAAATACGATAAAGGGCAAAATTACTGAAAGGAAAAAAATAAAAACTAACATGTTATAAACATTATAATTCTTATTTTATCATTCTTATATAACGACGTTGGTTTTCTCACATTTTCAAGAAATGGGGTAACTGATTTGTTTTTAATTGGACCAATAAAAAATTTGTGATCAACATAGTCATAGCACAAAAGAAAAGTTGTCACAGCGCATTACCAGTGCAAAAAAAAAGGAAAGGGTTAAGTTCGCCGAGTAAGCTGCTGAATCCCTGAGCCACTGAGTCACGAGTTCATATACTTATCTCGTATAATGTTATGATACCGTGCAATTATTTCAGCGAAAATTTTAACTTTAAGCGAAAAAACTGAAAGTGGATTCGCTTACTACAATTCTAGGAGTATATTTTTGTACAACATTCAACTCATTTTAAAATGCGGTTCATTGGATGACGTCGTCATATTGTTACAGACAGACGGGCAAACGGAACTAAAAATATGATTACAAATTTTGGAATTGAGGAAGTAAAAAGTTTGAAAATTTCAAAAATTTTGAGATTTGACGACTACAAACCAACGTTTTTATCATCTTCGGTAACCAAAATTCCGACATATAACTTCACCACGAGAACGCAAATTTTTGAATTCCAAAAACCAAATTTGTGGTGTTGAAAAAACATTTACAATTGTTAACTATAGAGACTTTTGGCACTCAAGTACAAGGCCCCGATATGGGGCTACTTTTATTTTCAATTTGCTTCAACGATCTACCGAATTACTTTGACAACGCCGAAAAAATGCGAACTTCCACATGACACAACTATTACTAATCTAAATTAACTGACTTGAAATTGAAAACTAAACATAGTGGCAAAATTAGAACAAAAATATTATTCTACGCATCCAGCTAATACGATTCAGAAGAAAGTTCAAGATGCTACTAGAGATTGAATAGTGGGTATTGAGACGTCACGATCTTGAAAAAATATATAAAGTTCATTCGATCAAATATTTTGATAAAAAAAAAATGGGTGGCGCAGAAATGCCTATTTTACGTAAAATGAAAAGCACATAGGGGTGATGAATTTTTCTTTAGCTTGCTTTTGGTTATTTCCTGGGTGTAGCGTTTGAAGAATTCCCAATTAATTTGAATTTAACGCTTTGAAGACCGAAATCTGGAAGAAATACCATCCAGAACACCTTTCGACTTGCATGTATTTAAACATGAGGTAAATAAATTATCCAAACTAAAATCCAATTCAAAGTATGCAAAGACGTGATTGGACACCTTGATAAGATTATAAGCAATTGAAATGGTGCACGTGTAGATCTCAAAAACCCGATAAAAATTACCACCACCCCAAAAACCGACTATAAATTGTCCACCTGCCTTGGACATCGTCACACCGCAGCAACATGATGAAAACTCTGATCGTGCTATTTTTCACTCTGTTCATCGTTGCCATTTTGGCAGCCCCCAAATCGCCCCTCCACCAAAAATGGGATGATTTCAAGGTAAGACAATCAATTTTTGTCCAAAACTGGCACTAACCCCCTTTTCCAGCTGACCCACAAGAAACAATACAGCAACCCCTTGGAGGAAGTTCGCCGTATGGCCATCTTCAACGACAACCTGGCCCAGATCGAGGAGCACAACGCCAAATTCGCCAAGGGAGAAGTCAGCTACAGCAAAGCCATCAACCAATTCGGTGACCTGACCAAGGAGGAATTCTTGGCTTACGTCAACCGCGGCAAGGCCACCAAGCCCGTCAAGAACCAGAAACTGGCCAAGAAGTGGGTGCCTTCCAAGAAACCCGCTGCCGCCCAAGTCGACTGGAGAGGCAACGCCGTCACCGAAGTCAAGAACCAGGGACAATGCGGATCCTGCTGGAGTTTCAGCACCGTGAGTAGGAACATTCTCGAGGGTTTGAGTAGTGTTGATTTTTTTCGCAGACTGGCTCCGTGGAAGGTCAACTCGCCATCAATCGCGGACAACTCATCTCTCTCAGTGAACAGAACTTGATTGACTGTTCTACTGGATATGGTAATGCCGCTTGCGACGGTGGTTGGATGGACAGCGCCTTCAACTACATCTACGACTATGGTATCATGAGCGAAAGCGCCTACCCCTATGAAGCCCAACTTGACAACTGCAGATACGACGCTTCTCAGTCTGTCACCAGCATCAATGGATACTACGATCTGCCCGCTGGAGACGAAAACTCCCTTGCCAACGCTGTCTCCAACAATGGTCCCGTTTCTGTGGCTATTGACGCCACCGATGAGCTCCAGTTCTACAGCCAGGGCATCATCTACGACACCACTTGCAACGAAAGAGACCTCAACCATGGTGTCCTCGTCGTAGGATATGGTTCCGAAGGTGGTTACGACTACTGGATCGTCAAGAACTCCTGGGGAGGTAGCTGGGGAGAAGGTGGTTTCTACAGAACCGTCCGTAACTACAACAACAACTGTGGTATCGCATCTGCTGCTTCATACCCATCTTTGTAAGCAAATTTCCCAGAACCTTACGATGTAAACAATAGCACAATAAAATTTTGAAATTTTTTTTTTTCAACAAGTCACTTTTACTGAGTTGCGCCTTTCAAACGATAAGACATTGACAATAGGTGGATATAAGGAGACAAATTAGTGCTCTGACACCAGTAAGATGAAGATTGTCTTAATTCTAAGTGTGGTCGCTCTGGCGACTGCGATCCCTCAAAGTACCATCAAAGACCAATGGGCTAATTTGAAAGTAATTTTCACCACATTTACACCCCTTGCATCATTTGTTTCTCGGCCAAACACAACAAAGAGTACTTGTCTGATAAGAAGGATTTGAAACGCTTTGTCATCTTTACGCAAAATCTGGCGAAAATTGAAGCACACAACACCAAATACAAAAATGGCGAAGTTAGTTATTACAAAGCGATTAATAAATTCGGCGATTTAACAGCTGATGAATTTCTTGCGTTCGTAAATCGACCTAAAGCTCCCGAAACACAAGTGCCCGGAAAATTTCGCAGAAGATATGTTCCTTCGAAGCAACCAGTCGATGACGAAGTTGACTGGAGGACCAAAAATGTAATAAGTGATATTAAAGACGAAGGGGACTGTGGGTCGTCTTGGACTTTTAGTGCAGTAAATATTAGCTAAGAAATGCAAAAAAGATGGTGAAGGGTTCACCTAATTCAAAACTTGATTAAACTTTGAAATTTTTATTTCAAAAATTCAAAAAATTCTGAAGTTTTGGAAAATCTTGATGACGATTAACAAAGAATTCGTTTTTAACATCCTGGCTATATAAAACTCTGATGTAACTTGTCAAGAATATAAATTTCGAAAAGCTTCCAAATTTTAAAAATTTCAACTTAAATTTCTGTGATTTGGAAACAATCTGAAAATTAGAAGTAGTATTTAATGTTTTGTTTGAAACGTGGAATGAACTAAATAAATTTTTAATATACTAAAGTTTAAAATCTTTGAAGCAATCTATGTATGTTCCACGGATTTTTTTAAAACATCGACAATTTCGGCGTTTGGTGAAATTTTGAAAATTTCAAAAATTTTGAGAATTCGGAAAAACCTGACGACTATAAACCAAAGATTCACTTTTAACATCTCAAGTATCCAAAACTCTGGCACAACTTTAGTGTGTCACAATAACGAACATTTTGAAAACATTGAAAATCTCGGATATAAAAATTTTGAATGTTTGGTAAATTGAAGATACAGTAATTTTTAGAAAAATTCACAAATGAAAACAAGATAGTAGTTTTTAACTTTCTAAGGGTTAAAAAGTGTAATTAAACCCTCTGCATATTTCGCAAACACCTTTTTTTTTAATCGGAGATCTTGTGACTCTCAAAATTGTAAATATTTCCAAAATTCAGAAATACTTTGAAACGTGGAATGAACCAAGTAAATTTTTAACATACTTAGTTTTAAATCTTTGTATGTTCTACGAAAGATTTTTTTAAGCATTGACGATTTTGACGTTCGAAGAAAAGAAATTTCCAAAAATTTTGAGAATTCGGAAAACCTTGACGACTTTTAAACGAAAGATTTTCATTTTTATTTTATTTATTTATTTTCATTAAGCCCCGCCCACCCCCCCAATCTCTATTGTTATGACTAGAGAGCGGATTTATAAGCACAAAAAAATTAAGAATAAGCGCTTAAATAAGCACAACATTTTCAATAACAAAGTTTTATTTTAAGCAAAAAAGCATTAAATAAGCATAACACTTTCATTAAAAAAGTTTTATTTTAAGCCAAAAAGCATTAAAACATAATCATATTACAAATCAAAGAACACTTCTTAGAACTTTGGATAAAATATGATTACAATAATCCTAGACTTTATATTTTACGCACGTATTTCAGTTTTCTTTAAAACAATTTATGATTGTAATATGTTCCAAGTTGTCCACTGTAAAATTTTTTCGCCGATCATTTAAAATGTGTTTAAAATTGGAGAATGTGCGTTCAACATCCACACTCGTTGTTGGCGCAAAATTTGAATTTTGCAACTAATGTTGAATCTAACTCCAAATTTTCCACCTTCTGGCCTTGTAAAACACGAGCAACGTCGGAAAGAACACCGAAACCTGCATTTTTATTTAACACTTCGTCAAATTGTGGAGATACTCTAGTACCAATATCACCCCTTACTGCGTTTGCTTGTTGTTTAAATTCTTTCACTAAGTTTATGGCATCTACCAACAACATGTTGGGTTTTTCTAACTTTTCTATTACCTCACATACGAATTGATAATTGCTTCTTAGAAAAGCTAGATCTTGTCGCAAATCTTTGTTTTCCAAAATATGTATGCAATCTTTAATCGATTGAGAAGAATCTTCGCTAAACTCCGTAACTATTTCCTCAAATTCTTTGATATATTGGTCATAATAAAATGTGGCCTGTAACCATGTTCCCCACCTCGTTATATCGGCTCTGGGAGCAACGGTCATCGTAGTGACATTTCAAACTATAGACCTATTAGTATTGGTTCACCTATAGCCAAAATATTTGATTCAATTACATATGACATTTTGCCTTTCCATGTAAAAAATATCATCCTAGATGAACAGCATGGTTTCTTTAAAGGGCGTTCGACAACTTCTAATTTAATGATATTTACTAATTATATAGTTAATAATATGGAAAATGGTTACGATTTTGATAGGGTGAATATTCGTATTCTACTATTAAAATTGGCTAAGATTCGAATTGGTGATCCTTTACTATCATGGATAGATTCATATCTAAGTAATCGAAGGCAAGTTGTAATTATAAATGGGTTTAAATCAAAATGTATAATTCCATCTTCTGGTGTTCCGCAAGGTTCCCATTTAGGGCCTTTGCTTTTCTCTCTATTTATAAATGATATCAAAGATGTTATAAAATCTAGTCCGTTTTTACTATTTGCAGATGATTTAAAAATTAAAAAAAAAAATTACTTGCCCCTCTGATTGTCATATGATACAATCTGATTTGAACTTTTTAGAATTTTGGTGTAAGAAAAATGGACTAGAATTTAACATGCCTAAGTGTAAGGTTTTAAGATTTAGTCGCAAATTATGTTCTGAACATTATAATTATACATTATCTTCTATTGTTCTTGAAAGTGTGACCAGTTTTTGTGATTTAGGAATTACTATTGATAGTAAACTCTCTTTTACTTTTCACATAAATAATATTGTTTCTAAAGCACATAAAATGTTAGGATTAGTAAAAAGAACCTGTAGTGAGTTCACAAATCTTAGATCTTTTATTGTTTTGTTTTCATCTTTTGTAAGGTCGATCCTCGAATACGGTGTTACTATATGGTCCCCTTATTATAAGATGCACAGTCAAAAAATTGAAAAAATTAAAAAAAAATTCGTCAAATTTCTGTGCTATAAGTTCAAAATATTTTTCAATTGCTATAATTATACTATGATAATAAGTTATTTTGGGCTTACGTTACTTTCTAAGAGAAGAATAATGTTTGATATGTGTTTTGTTTATAAAGTATTGTCTGGTATTGTTACTTGTTCAAATATTTTAATTTTATTTATGATACATGTTCCATCTCGTCAAGTAAGAAATTCTCACTTACTTTCAATTCCATATCATCGTACTTTGTACGCGTTTCAATCGCCTGTTAGTCGTCTTGATAGACTGACATTTATCTATAATGAAATTAAGTTTGTGGGAATTTCTTACACCAGGTTTAAATCATCGATCCACAGGAAGATTTTAATTTAGTGTTGTAACTTTTGTATGTTTTTATTATAATTGGTTTTTTTTCGACCGTTAATAAACATCATCATCAATATAATTTCTTGTAGAGAAATGAGGATTTTGTAACTAAACTCAGCCCTTCAGCTCACAATGAATAAAACATTCATCACAATTGAGAAGGGGTGGGTGGGCGGGGTTTATATTTTGTCCATTATTTCTTAATATACGAAGACTTCTTTTCCCAACAAGAAACTGCAAACATATTTAACTATCCTGTTGAAAGAAAACTCTATATATTAAACAAAAAAATAATAACAATAATAATAATAATAAGCCCCACCCACCCGCCCCAATCTCAATTGTGATCAGTTCCATATGATAATTTCTTGTAGAGAAATGAGGATTTTGTAACTAAACTCCGCCCTTCAGCTCACAATGAATAAAACATTCATCACAATTGAGAAGGGGTGGGCGGGCGGGGTTTATATTTTGTCCACTTTTTCTTAATATACGAAGACTTCTTTTTACAACAAGAAACTGAAAACATGTTTAACTATCCTGTTGTTGAAAGAAAACTCTATATTTAAAAAAAACACAAAGATTAAGCCCCACCCACCCGCCCCAATCTCAATTGTGATGAGTTTCATATAATAATTTCTTGTAGAGAAATGAGGATTTTGTAACTAAACTCCGCCCTTCAGCTCACAATGAATAAAACATTCATCACAATTGAGAAGGGGTGGGTGGGCGGGGTCTATATTTTGTCCATTTTTTGTTAATATACGAAGACTTCTTTTTACAACAAGAAACTGAAAACATGTTTAACTATCCTGTTGTTGAAAGAAAACTCTATATTTAAAAAAAACACAAAGATTAAGCCCCACCCACCCGCCCCAATCTCAATTGTGATGAGTTTCATATGATAATTTCTTGTAGAGAAATGAGGATTTTGTAACTAAACTCCGCCCTTCAGCTCACAATGAATAAAATATTCATCACAATTGCGAAGGGGTGGGTGGGCGGGGTTTCTATTTTGTCCACTTTTTCTTAATATACGAAGACTTCTTTTTACAACAAGAAACTGAAAACATGTTTAACTATCCTGTTGGTGAAAGAAAACACTATACCGGCTGTCTGGAAAATGGCGGATTAACTCTTCAGTACGTACATTCTTTATAACGTAGATAACGAAAAAAACGTGGTTTTATAAAAGTAAAATTGGCAACAATGTTCACAGCTAATGCGTGAATACCTCCGTCTTACTTTCTGGTTTCTTAGTAACGATGCTGATTGAAATCCACCTTCGCTTTATATCAGGCAAACATTGTTGTCAAATGGAATTTTATCAAATTATTACAAAAGCAACACAGCCATATCTTTGTGCATTCTAATGGAAAGGGTAATTAAACATGGTAATGGGCGAGAAAAATATTAACTAAAAGTTTTACTACTAGTTATTCTGATAATGAATGAGTTGTTTAGTTGTTAAACGTAGCAAAAGAACCAATTTTAAAATCATTATAACTTCACCAAAATGTGAGACGGATTTTTTTACTGTTTTTCCCAGACTCACCAGTTGATTGTTAAGAACGTAGCGGAGAGTTAATCCGCCATTTTCCAGACACCAGGTATATTAAAAAAAACAAAACAAAGAACTGCTAACTACAGAGACTTTTGACACTCAAGTACAAGGCCCCGATCTTACTTTTATTTTCAATTTGCTTCAATGATCTACTGAATTACTTTGACAACGCCGAAAAAATGCGAACTTCCACATGACACAACTATTACTAATCTAAATTAACTGACTTGAAATTGAAAACTAAACATAGTGGCAAAATTAGAACAAGAATATTATTCTACGCATCCAGCAAATACAATTCAGAAGAAAGTTCAAGATGCTACTAGAGATTGAATAGTGGGTATTGAGACGTCACGATCTTGAAAAAATATACAAAGTTCAATCGATCAAATATCTTGATAAAAAAAAAATGTGTGGCGCAGAAATGCCTATTTTACGTAAAATGAATTTTTCTTTAGGTTGCTTTTGGTTATTTCTTGGGTGTAGCGTTTGAAGAATTGCCAAGTAATTTGAATTTAACGCTTTGAAGACCTAAATCTGGAAGAAATACCATCCAGAACACCTTTCGACTTGCATGTATTTAAACTTGAAGTAAATAAATTATCCAAACTAAAATCCAACTCAAAGTATGCAAAGAAGTACAATCATCGCGATTGGACACCTCGATAAGATTATAAGCAATTGAAATGGTGCACGTGTAGATCTCAAAAACCCGATAAAAATTACCACCACCCCAAAAACCGACTATAAATTGTGCAGCTGTCTTGGACATCGTCACACCGCAGCATCATGAAGACCTTCATCGTTCTAGCTTTGGTAATCGTCGCCACTTTGGCAGCCCCCAAATCGCCCCTTCATAAGAAATGGGCTGATTTCAAGGTAAGACAATTAATTTTTGTCCAAAACCCGCACTAACCGCCTCCTCCAGCTGACCCACAAGAAACAATACAGCAACCCCTTGGAGGAAGTTCGCCGTATGGCCATCTTCAACGACAACCTGGCCCAGATCGAGGAACACAACGCCAAATACGCTAAAGGAGAAGTCACCTACAGCAAAGCCATCAACCAATTCGGTGACCTGACCAAGGAGGAATTCTTGGCTTACGTCAACCGCGGCAAGGCCACCAAGCCCGTCAAGAACGAGAAACTGGCCAAGAAGTGGGTGCCTTCCAAGAAACCCGCTGCCGCCCAAGTCGACTGGAGAGGCAACGCCGTCACCGAAGTCAAGAACCAGGGACAATGCGGATCCTGCTGGAGTTTCAGCACCGTGAGTAGGAACATTCTCGAGGGTTTGAGTAGTGTTGATTTTTTTCGCAGACTGGCTCCGTGGAAGGGCAATTCGCCATCAATCGCGGACAACTCATTTCTCTCAGTGAACAGAACTTGATTGACTGTTCTACTGGGTATGGTAATGCCGGTTGTGACGGTGGTTGGATGGACAGTGCCTTCGACTACATCTACGACTATGGTATCATGAGCGAAAGCGCCTACCCCTACGAAGAACGACTTGACAACTGCAGATACGACGCTTCTCAGTCTGTCACCAGCATCAATGGATACTACGATCTGCCCTATGGAGACGAAAACGCTCTTGCCAACGCTGTCTCCAACAATGGTCCCGTTTCTGTGGCTATTGACGCCACCGATGAGCTCCAGTTCTACAACCAGGGCATCATCTACGACACCACTTGCAACGAAAGAGACCTCAACCATGGTGTCCTCGTCGTAGGATATGGTTCCGAAGGTGGTTACGACTACTGGATCGTCAAGAATTCCTGGGGAGGTAGCTGGGGAGAAGGTGGTTTCTACAGGACCGTCCGCAACTACAACAACAACTGCGGTATCGTATCTGCTGCTTCATACCCATCTTTGTAAGCAAATCTCCCAGAACCTTACGATGTAAACAATAGCACAATAAAATTTTGAAATTTTCAACAAGTCACTTTTACTGAGTTGCGCCTTTCAAACGATAAGATATTGACAATAGATGGATATAAGGAGACGAATTAGTGCTCTGATACCAGTAAGATGAAGATTGTCTTAATTCTAAGTGTGGTCGCTCTGACGACTGCGATCCCTCAAAGTACCATCAAAGACCAATGGGCTAATTTCAAGGTAATTTTCACAACATTTAGACCCCTTGCATCATTTGTTTCTAGGCCAAACACAACAAAGAGTACTTGTCTGATAGCGACGATTTGAAACGCTTTGTCATCTTTACGCAAAATCTGGCGAAAATTGAAGCACACAACACCAAATACAAAAATGGCGAAGTTAGTTATTACAATGCGATTAATAAGTTCGGGGATTTAACAGCTGATGAATTTCTTGCGTTCGTAAATCGGACTAAAGCTCCTGAAACACAAGTGCCCGGAAAATTTCGCAGAAGATACGTTCCTTCGAAGCAACCAGTCGATGACGAAGTTGACTGGAGGACCAAAAATGTAATAAGTGATATTAAAGACGAAGGGGACTGTGGGTCGTCTTGGACTTTTAGTGCAGTAGGTATTAGCTAAGAAACGCAAAAAAGATGCTGAAGGGTTCACCTAATTCAAAACTTGATTAAACTTTGAAATTTTTATTTCAAAAATTCCAAAAATTCTGAAGTTTTGGAAAATCTTGATGGCGATTAACAAAGAATTCGTTTTTAATAACCTGGCTATATAAAACTCTGATGTAACTCGTCAAAATTTCGAGAATATAAATTTCGAAAATCTTCCAAATTTTAAAAATTTCTGTGATTTGAAAACAATTTGAAAAATAGAAGTAGTATTTAATGTTTTAAGGGTTAAAAACTTCTATCAAGCCCTCTGTACATTTAGCAAAGACTTTTTCTTCAATCGAAGACCTTGTGAGATTCTCGAAATTGTAAAGATTTCCAAAATTCAGAAATACTTTGCAACGTGGAATGAACTAAATAAATTTTTAACATACTTAAGTTTAAACTCTTTGAAGCAATCTATGATGTTTCAAAGAAATTTTTTTTAATCATCGACGATTTTGACGTTCGGACAAATTTTGAAAATTTCAAAAATTTTGCGAATTCGGAAAACCTTGACGACCAGAGATTCACTTTTATCACCTCAGGTATCCAAAACTCAGGCACAACTTCAACAACGAAAATTTTGAAAACATTGAAAATCTCGGTTATAAAAATTTTGAATGTTTGGTAAATTGAAGATCCAGTAATTTTTAGAAAAATTCACAAATGAAAACAAGATAGTAGTTTTTAACTTTTTAAGGGTTAAGAAGTGTAATTAAACCCTCTGCATATTTCGCAAACACCTTTTTTTTTAATCGGAGATCTTGTGAGACTCAAAATTGTAAATATTTCCAAAATTCAGAAAGACTTTGAAACGTGGAATGAACTAAATAAATTTTTAACATACTTGGTTTAAACTCTTTGAAGAAATCGATGTATGTTCTACGAAAGATTTTTTTAAACATTGACGATTTAGACGTTCGAGCAAATTTTGAAAATTTCAAAAATTTTGAGAATTCGGAAAACCTTGACGACTATTAAACGAAAGATTCATTTTCTTTGTGCCAAACAATTGTTGAAGAAAATTACATATGTAAGGAAAAAAAAACAAAACAAAAAGTAACCCCCACCCACCCGCCCCAATCTCAATTGTGATGAGTTTCATCTGATAATGTCTTGTAGAGATGAGGATTTTGCAATTAAACTCCGCCCTTCAGCTCACAATGAATAAAACATTCATCAAAATTGCGAAGGGGTGGGTGGGCGGGGTTTATATTTAGTCCATTTTTTCTTAACATACGAAGTCTTCTTTTCCCAACAAAAAACTGACAACAAGAACTAGTTTTTAATATTCTAAAGGTTAAAAACTTTGAATCAAGCCCTCTGTACATTTCGCAAAGATCTTTTTTTTTAATCGAAGATAGAAATACTTTGAACGTGGAATGAACCTAATAAATTTTTAACATACTTAGTTTAAAATCTTTGAAGCAATCTAATTATGTTCCAAGAAAGATTTTTTTAAATATCGACGATCTTGTCTTGATGAAATTTTCAAATTTTCAAAAATTTTGACATTTAGAAAAATCTCGACCACGATAAACTAAAAATTCATTTTAATCATCATAGGTTTCCAAAACTTTGACACAACTTCAGCGTGTTAGAAAATCGCAAATTTTGAAAACACTGAAAATCTTTTCGGTTAACAAAATTTTGAATATGGCGAAAATTAAAGAACCAGAAATTAAAAAAACATTCACAACCGAAAAAGAGAGTAGTTTTTAACATTTCAAGGGCTAAAAACCTGTGCAAATTTCACAAAGACCTTTTTTTTTAATCGAAGATTTTGTAAGATTCTCAAAATTGTAAATATTTCCAAAAAATCCGAAAAACTTTGAAACATGTTATGAACTTCAATGATAAATTTTTATAACAATGTGGTTTAGAAACTAAAGCAATCTATATATATTCCAAGAATGATTTTTTAAACATCGACGTCTTGGCGGTTGGTGAAATTTTGAAATTTTCAAAAATTTTGACATTTAGAAAAACCTCGACGACCATAAACCAAAAAATAACATTTTTGTCACCTTAGGTTTCCACAACTTTGACACAACTTCGGTGTGTTAGAAAATCGCAAATTTTGAAAACACCGAAAATCTTTTTGATTATCAAAATTTTGAATATTTCGAAAATTGAAAAAAAAATATACACAACCGAAGAATAGAATGGTTTTTAACGCTTTAATGGCTAAAAACTTTGAATCAAGCCCTTTGCACATTTTGCAGACCATTTTTTTTAAATCGAAGATTTTGTAAGATTCTCAAAATTGTAAATATTTCCAAAAAATCCGAAAAACTTCGAAACATGTTCTGAACTTAAAAATTTATAATGATAAATTTTTTAACATATGTGGTTTAAAAACTTCAAAGCAATCTATGTATATTCCAAGAATGATTTTTTTAAACATCGACGTCTTATCGGTTGGCGAAATTTTGAAATTTTCAAAAATTTTGACATTTAGAAAAACCTCGACGACGATAAACCAAAAAATAACATTTTTATCATTTTAGGTTTCCACAACTTTGACACGACTTCGGCTTGTTAGAAAATCGCAAATTTTGAAAACACCGAAAATCTTTTTGATTATCAAACTTTTGAATATTTCGAAAATTGAAAAAAATATTCACAACCGAAGAATAGAATGGTTTTTAACGCTTTAAGGGCTAAAAACTTTGAATCAAGCCCTTTGCACATTTTGCAAACCATTTTTTTTTTAATCGAAGATTTTGTAAGATTCTCAAAATTGTAAATATTTCCAAAAAATCCGAAAAACTTTGAAACATGGAATGAACTTAAACATTTATAATTCAATGATACATTTTTTAACAGATGTGGTTTAAAAACTTCAAAGCAATCTATGTATATTCCAAGAATTATTTTTTTAAACATCCACGTCTTGTCGGTTGGTGACATTTTGAAATTTTCAAAAATTTTGACATTTAGAAAAACCTCGTCGACCATAAACCAAAAAATAACATTTTTATCACCTTAGATCTCCACAACTTTGACACAACTTCGGCGTGTTAGAAAATCGCAAATTTTGAAAACACCGAAGATCTTTCCGGTTAACAAAATTTTGAATATTGCGAAAATTAAAGAACCAGCAATTAAAAATACATTCACAACCGAAAAAGACAGTAGTTTTTAATGTTTAAAGGGCTAAAAACTTTGAATCAAACCCTCTGCACATTTCACAAAGACCATTTTTTTTAAATCGAAGATTTTGTAAGATTCTCAAAATTGTAAATATTTCAAAAAAAACCGAAAAACCTTGAAATTTAAACATTTATAATTCAATGATAATTTTTTTAACATATGTGGTTTAAAAACTTCAAAGCAATCTATGTATATTCCAAGAATGATTTTTTTAAACATCGACGTCTTGGTGGTTGGTGAAATTTTGAAATTTTCAAAAATTTTGACATTTAGAAAAATCTCGACCACGATAAACTAAAAATTCATTTTAATCATCATAGGTTTCCAAAACTTTGACACAACTTCAACGTGTTAGAAAATCGCAAATTTGGAAAACACCGAAAATCTTTTCGGTTAACAAAATTTTGAAAATTGCGAAAATTAAAGAACCAGCAATTAAAAATACATTCACAACCGAAAAAGACAGTAGTTTTTAATGTTTAAAGGGCTAAAAACTTTGAATCAAACCCTCTGCACATTTCACAAAGACCATTTTTTTAAATCGAAGATTTTGTAAGATTCTCAAAATTGTAAATATTTCCAAAAAATCCGAAAAACTTTGAAACATGTTATGAACTTCAATGATAAATTTTTATAACAATGTGGTTTAAAAACTTCAAAGCAATCTATGTATATTCCAAGAATGATTTTTTAAACATCGACGTCTTGGTGGTTGGTGAAATTTTGAAATTTTCAAAAATTTTGACATTTAGAAAAACCTCGACGACCATAAACCAAAAAATAACATTTTTGTCACCTTAGGTTTCCACAACTTTGACACAACTTCGGCGTGTTAGAAAATCGCAAATTTTGAAAACACCGAAAATCTTTTTGATTATCAAAATTTTGAATATTTCGAAAATTGAAAAAAAAATATACACAACCGAAGAATAGAATGGTTTTTAACTCTTTAAGGGCTAAAAACTTTGAATCAAGCCCTTTGCACATTTTGCAGACCATTTTTTTTAAATCGAAGATTTTGTAAGATTCTCAAAATTGTAAATATTTCCAAAAAATCCCACAAACTTTGAAACATGTTCTGAACTTAAAAATTTATAATTCAATGATTAATTTTTTAACATATGTAGAAAAACTTCAAAGCAATCTATGTATATTCCAAGAATGATTTTTTAAACATCATCGTCTTGGCGGTTGGTGAAATTTTGAAATTTTCACAAATTTTGACATTTAGAAAAACCTCCACGACCATAAACCAAAAAATAACATTTTTATCACCTTAGGTTTCCACAACTTTGACACAACCTCGGCGTGTTAGAAAATCGCAAATTTTGAAAACACCGAAAATCATTTTGATTATCAAAATTTTGATTATTTCGGAAATTGAAAAAAACATTCACAACCGAAAAATAGAGTGGCTTTTAACGCTTTAAGGGCTAACAACTTTGAATCAAGCCCTCTGTACATTTCACAAAGACCTTTTTTTTTAAATCGAAGATTTTGTAAGATTCTCAAAATTGTAAATATTTCCAAAAAATCCGAAAAACTTTGAAACATGTTATGAACTTAAAAATTTATAATTCAATGATACATTTTTTAACATATGTGGTTTAAAAACTTCAAAGCAATCTATGTCTATTCCAAGAATGATTTTTTTAAACATCGACGTTTTGGCGGTTGGTGAAATTTTGAAATTTTCAAAAATTTTGACATTTAGAAAAACCTGGACGACGATAAACCAAAAAATAACATGTTTATCATCTTAGGTTTCCACAACTTTGACTCAACTTCGGCGTGTTAGAAAATCGCAAATTTTGAAAACACTGAAAATCTTTTTGATTATCAAAATTTTGATTATTTCGAAAATTGAAAAAACATTCACAACCGAAAAATAGAGTGGTTTTTAACGCTTTAAGGGCTAAAAACTTTGAATCAAGCCCTTTGTACATTTTGCAGACCATTTTTTTTTAAATCGAAGATATTGTAAGATTCTCAAAATTGTAAATATTTCCAAAAAATCCGAAAAACTTCGAAACATGGAATGCACTTAAAAATTTATTTTATTTATTTATTTTTAAATTGGTTGTTTCTTCAGACGGGTGCCGTGGAGGGCCAGCTCGCCCTCAAAACCGGCGAACTTACCCCCCTCAGCGCGCAGAACCTCCTCGACTGCTCCTCCGACTACGGCAACACCGGCTGCGACGGCGGCTTCACCGACAGCGCCTTCGACTACATCCACGACAACGGCATCATGTCGGAATCCGCCTACCCCTACGAAGGCGCCGCCGGCGCCTGCCGTTTCGACCCTTCGCAATCCGTCACCTCCATATCGGGCTACGTGGACGTGGACTTCATGAGCGAAGTGGGCTTAGCGGACGCCGTGGCCAACATCGGACCAATCGCAGCCGCCATCGACGCCACCGAAGCCCTCCAGTTCTACTACGGAGGAGTTTTCTTCGACGAAACTTGCAACATCAACGAGTCGGATTTGGACCATGGGGTCTTGGTCGTGGGGTATGGGAGAGAGTTGCAGTACGACTACTGGATCGTGAAGAACTCGTGGGGGGTGGATTGGGGCGAAAACGGGTTTTATAAGTCGGTGAGGAATTATGGGAATAATTGCGGTATTGCAACTCATGCTTCGTATCCACAGTTGTAAATAAAGTGTGATGAGTAATAGAGGCATTGTTTTATTGACGTGAATTGCACAATGTTATCATTTCAAAACTATCTGATAATATCACTATTTTCGCATTTAAAATAATTTAAAGTATCCAAAACTGACAATTATTAAGAGAGAAAATCACGCCCTAAAAAATGTCAAACGTCCAACAAGACCTTTGACCCTCTTATTCGGTCATCTTGATAAACTGATTCCACTTTTTGTTTAAAACAGCGAAAACAAAATTGAAGTGTTTTTATGCGATAAATAAATAATAAACTCATTTGCGTCAGGTCAAGCTACCAAAAATCAATTGCTGAGAGTGTTCGCAAGAGAAGACGTCAAAATGAAGTTTTTTCTCATATTAATCGCGGTTTTTATGCCATCGTTTTCGAACCCTATGAAAGAGGAAGTGCAGAGACGCTGGAACGACTACAAGGTGAGTGACTTTTACCAAATGTACACATAAATTAGAAAAACCGTCGTAATTTTAGACACTCTACCAAAAATCATACGACGATTCAGAAGAACAAAAGCGTTTTGACATTTTCGAAACCAACTTACGCACAATTGAAGACCACAACAAACAGTATGGCGACAAAAAGGTGTCTTATAAGATGGCTGTGAATCAATTTGCCGATCTAACCTGCGACGAGTTCGCCCAGTATTACGCACGTGGGTACAAACCGAGAAACACAGAAAGTAAAGTAATTCCGAAAACTAAATCTATATATGATGAGGTCCCTGAAGAGATAGACTGGAGGGAAAAGGGCGCAGTCACGCAAGTAAAAAATCAAGGAGTTTGTGGCGCTTGTTGGGCTTTCAGTACGGTAAACCCATCCACAACCCACCCAACCACAGCTCACTATCTTTTTGTTTTTTCAGACTGGCAGCTTGGAAGGTCAAAATTTTCTCAAAAATGGTGTTCTAGTGTCTTTAAGCGAGCAAGAACTGGTTGATTGTATTATAGCCAGATCGTTGCGAGGTTGCAATGGAGGTTTTCTAGATGTAGCTTTCCAATACGTCATAGACCATGGACTTTCCACAGAAGATGATTATCCGTACGAAGAGGCTGATGGTATTTGTCACAGGGGCGATCTTCCATCTGCTGTTACAGAAATTGCGTATCTTGCGATTTTTGGTACTAGTGAGGAAGCTCTTAAGGATGCTGTTGGTACGGTTGGACCCATTTCGGTGGGTGTGGATGCCACCAAGTGGCAGTTTTATAGTGAAGGGGTTTTTTATGACGCGACTTGTAAAACTGAGGCTAATAGTTTGAACCATGCAGTTCTAGCCGTGGGTTATGGTACCGAAGACGATGGAGAGTACTGGTTGGTGAAGAATTCATACGGGCCGGAATGGGGGATGGACGGGTACATTAAATTGGCGAGGAATCGCAACAACACGTGTGGAATTGCCACGGAACCTTGGTACCCCGTTCTTTAAATGTATCAATTTTTTGTAAGAATTGTAAATAAATAGATAAATGCTTGAATGAAAAGTTTTCGTTTTTTCAGCAGTTCGGGTTTTCCCCCTGGGGTTTTTTTTCTCACTAAAAAATGATATTTTCCAAGATCTTTGAGAGTCCAATATCTCAAGATTCAAAATTATTGCTCAATGTTTCACTTTATTATTGTTTCTAGAAATTTTACTTCAAAATTTTTATTTTCATTTTAAAATATTAGGGTTCAATTTTTGAAGATTTTGACATTCTCCTCTGTCGAAAAAAACGTCAAAATCTTAAAATCTTAATTTTTTTATTAATTTTCAACATTTCAACAGCTCGGGTTTCCCCCCAAGGTTTCACATTTTTTTCAAAATTTGTCTGTTTTTGAATCACCACATTTTGTTCTAGGATTAAATATTTTTCAAAATTTTTATTTCTCACTAAAAATTTAGATTATGTTGAACATCTTTCCGATTGTTTAGACTTTAGGATTCAAGATTATTGCCCAATGTGTTCCCTTTCTAAAATTTTTACTTAAACATTTTAATTTCGATTTTAAAATAATAATTTTAATTTCAATTATTGAAGATTTTGACGATCTTTTCAAGACCTCTCGCTGAAATTTTTTTCTAGTATAAATTTCTCATCGACTTTCAACATTTCAGCAGTTCGGGTTTTCCCCCTGGGTTTAAGATTTTTTCAAAATTTGTTTTTCGAATCATCACGTTTTCTCATGAATTATAATTTTTTTCAAAATTTTTAGACTCCAAGTTTTCAAGATTCAAAATTATTGCTCAATGTTTTCACTTTATTATTTTTTTGTTAATTTACTTCTACATTTTAATTTTCATTCTAAAATATTACGTTACACTTTTTAAAGATTTTGACATTCTGCTCTCCTGAAAAGAACGTCAAAATTTTAATTTATTAATTTTCAACATTTCAACAGCTCGGGTTTTCTCCCAAGGTTTCAGATTTTTTTCAAAATTTGCTTACTTTTTGAATCAGCACATTTTGTTGTAAGATTCATTTTTTTTCTTGTTTCTAACCACAATTTTTGATTTTTTTTTAAGATACTTCCGATTGTTTAGACTTTGGGATTCAAGATTATCGCTCAACTATATTTTTTTTTCAAAATTTTAATTCCTCACTAAAGAAAAATTGATTTTCTTCAAGATCTTTTAGACTTCAAGATTTGAAGATTCGAAACTATCTGCTCAATGTTTTCACTTTATCATTCTAAAAATTTTCCTTCAAAATTTTTATTTTCATTTTAAAATATTAGGTTTCAATTTTTGAAGATTTTGACATTCTCCTCTCATGAAAAGAACGTCAAAATCTTAAATTTTATTTTTTTTACCAATTTTGAACACGTCTACAGATCGGGTTTTCTCCCAAAGTTTCAGATTTTTTTGAAAATTTGTTTGTTTTTTGAATCACCACATTTTGTCGTAGGACTAAATTTTTTTTTAGATCTTTCCTATTGTAGACTTTAAATTTTATCTAGTTTAAATTTCTTATTAACTGTCAACATTTCAGTAATACGGATTTTCCCTCGGGGTTTAAGAATTTTTGAAAATTTTACTTTCTCCGTAACAATTATTTTTTCAAAATCTTTCCGACTCCAAGATTTCAAGATTCAAGAGTATTTCTCCATATCTGCATTTCATTATTTTTTCTAAAAATTTTACTTCAAAAGTTGTATTTTCGTTTTAAAATATTTGGGTTCAAATTTGAAGATTTTTGACTTCTCTTCAAGATCTCGCGTTGAAAATTTTAATTTTTTATTAATCTTCAACATTTCGCAGCTCGGGTTTTTTTCAAAATTTGGTTTTTAATGACATTTTCTCATAAAACTATATTTTTTTCAAAATTTTAATATCTCACTAAAGAAAAACTGATTTTTTCAAGATTTTTTAGACTCCCAAGATTTCAAGAATCAAAATTATTGTTCAAAGTTTTCTGTTTTTTTTGAATCACCACATTTTATCGTAATTTTTTCAAAATTTTTATGTCTCACCAAAAATTTTGATTTTTTTGAAAATCTTTCCGGTTGTTTAGACTTCAGGATTCAAGATTTCAAGCTCAATTACATTTTTTTTTCAAAATTTTAATTCCTCACTAAAAAAAATTGATTTTCTTCAAAATCTTTTACACTTCAAGATTTCAGGATTCAAAATTATTGCTCAATGTTTTCAGTTTATTATCTTTCAAAAAATTTTCCTTCAAAATTTTCAATTTCATTTTAAAATATTTGGTTTCAATTTTTGAAGATTTTGACATTCTTCTCTCTTGAAAAGAACGTCAAAATCTTAAAAAATTCATTTTTCATTAATTTTCAACATTTCAAAAGCTCTAGTTTCTGCCCAAAGTTTCAGATGTTTTTCAAAATTTGACTGTTTTTTGAATCACTACATTTAAGATTCAATTTTTTCAAAATCTTTATTTTTCACTAAAAATTTTGATTTTTTTGAAGATCTTTCCGATTGTTTAGATTTTAAGATTCAAAATTATTACTCATTTTTTTTCAAAATTTTAATTTCTCACTAAGAAAGAATTGATTTAGAATTTTATTTTTTTATTCATTTTCAACATTTCATCAACTCGAGGTTTCCCCCCAAGGTTTCTTTTTTTTTCCAAAATTTTTTAGCAAATAAAATACCCTCTAAAAGAAGAGAGAGCTAGGGCGGGTGAGCGGGGCTAGTAGCTGCCAAGATAAAACTGATTTCAGCAGGTAGTGGCCACAACCATCCGCCCTCCCTTTTTTTAAAGGGTACCTGATTTGCCAAAATCACTCTTATCTTAGCAGGTACTAGCCCCGCCCCCCCACCCTCCCTTTTCTTGGAAAGTATGTCATTTGCCAAAATCAGTTTTATCTTAGCAGCTACTAGATAGGAGAAGACTGATTTTGGCAAATGACGTATCTTCTAAAAAAAGAGAGGGTGGGTGGGCGGGGCTAGTACCTACTAAAATGATTTTCTTCAAGATATTTTAGACTCCAACATTTCAAGATTCAAAATCATTGCTCAATGTTTTCACACTATTAAGTACTCTTTCTAAAATTTTTAGTTCAAAGTTTTAATTTTGATTTTAAAATATTTGATTTCAGTTATTGAAGATTTTGACGATCTTCTCCAAATCTCGGGTTGAAAATTTTATCCAGTTTAAATTTTTTATTAATTTTCAACATTTCATCAGCTCCAGTTTTTCCCCAAGAGTTCAGAAATTTTCAAAATTTGTTCTTTTTTCTGAATCAGCTTATTTTTTCGTAAAATTATATACTTTTTTAAGATTTTAATTTCTCTCAAAAAATGTTGATTTTCTTTCCAGGTCTCAAAATTATTGTTCAATGTTGCTATTTTATTTTTTCTAAAAATTTTACTTAAAAATTTTTGTTTTCATTTTAAAATATATGGTTTCAATTCTTGAAGATTTTGACGTTCTTTTACGCAAACATTCAAATTTTTTATTCATCTTCAGCATTTCTTCAGCTCGGTTACAGCTTTTTTCAAAATTTGTTTTTTGAATCACCACATTTTCACTTTTCATTAATTTTCAACAATTCATCAGCTCGAGTTTTCTTCTGAAATTATAGATTTTTTTCAAAATTTGTCTTTTGAATCATCATATTTTGTCGAAAAATTATGAACTTTTTTCAAAAATTGTAATTTCTGAATAAAAACTTTGATTACTTGACATTCCTGACTGTTTGGAGTCCACGAGTCTTTTAAAAACAATCTATTTTCATTTGAAAATATGTTGTTTTCATTGTTTTCAATGATTAGAGGTTTTGAGGTTTCAAAATTTGAAACTCGGGTTTTCGCCCAAAATTTTAGATTTCTCAAAACTTTGATTTCACACTAAAATTTTTATATTGGAAGGTATGCCATTTGCCAAAATCAGTTTTATCTTAGCAGCTACTAGCTAGGATAAGACTGATTTTGGCCAATGACATATCGTGTAAGAAAAGAAGAGAGGGTGGGTGGGCGGGGCTAGTACCTCGTACTAAAATGATTTTCTTCAAGATCTTTTAGACTCCAACATTTCAAGATTCAAAATCATTGCTTAATATTTTCACACTATTAAGTACTCTTTCTAAAATTTTTAGTGCAAAATTTTAATTTTGATTTTAAAATATTTGGTTTCAGTTATTGAAGATTTTGACGATCTTCTCCAGATCTCGGGTTGAAAATTTTACCTAGTTTAAATTTTTTATTAATTTTCAACATTTCATCAGCTCCAGTTTTTCCCCAAGAGTTCAGAAGTTTTCAAAATTTGTTCATTTTTTCTGAATCAGCGTATTTTTTCGTAAAATTATATATTTTTTTAAGATTTTAATTTCCCTCAAAAAATGTTGATTTTTTTCCAAGTCTCAAAATTATTGCTCAATGTGGCTGTTTCATTATTTTTTCTAAAAATTTTACTTCAAAATTTTTGTTTTCAATTTAAAATACATGATTTCAATTCTTGAAGATGTTGACGTTCTTTTACGCAAACATTCAAATTTTTTATTAATCTTCAGCATTTCTTCAGCTCGATTACAGCTTTTTTCAAAATTTGTTTTTTGAATCACCATATTTTCACTTTTTTATTCTTTAGAAAAATGTTACCTAAAGATTTTCACTCTTTATTAATTTTCAACAATTCATCAGCTCGAGTTTTCTTCCGAAATTATGGATTTTTTTCAAAATTTGTCTTTTGAATCATCATATTTTCTCGAAAAATTATGAACTTTTTTCAAAAATTATAATTTCTGAATAAAAACTTTGATTATTTGACATTCCTGACTGTTTGGAGTCCACGAGTCTTAAAAGCAATCTATTTTCATTTGAAAATATGTCGTTTTCAATGATTAGAAGTTTTGAGATTTCAAAATTTGAAACTCGGGTTTTCCGCCCAAAATTTTAGATTTCTCAAAACTTTGATTTCACACTAAAATTTTTATATTGGAAGGTATGCCATTTGCCAAAATCAGTTTTATCTTAGCAGCTACTAGCTATAGGATTAGACTGATTTTGGCAAATGACGTTTCGTCTAAGAAAAGAGAGGGCGGGTGAGCGGGGCTAGTAGCTGCCAAGATAAAACTGATTTTAGCAGGTAGTAGCCACGCCCATCCGCCCTCCCTTTTCTTAAAGGGTACCTGATTTGCCAAAATCACTCTTATCTTAGCAGGTACTAGCCCCCCCCCCCCCTTTTCTTGGAAGGTATGTCATTTGCCAAAATCAGTTTTATCTTAGCAGCTACTAGATAGGAGAAGACTTATTTTGGCAAATGACATATCTTCTAAAAAAAGAGAGGGTAGGTGGGCGGGGCTAGTACCTACTAAAATGATTTTCTTAAAGATTTTTTAGACACCAACATTTCAAGATTCAAAATCATTGCTCAATGTTTTCACACTATTAAGTACTCTTTCTAAAATTTTTAGTTCAAAATTTTAATTTTGATTTTAAAATATTTGGTTTCAGTTATTGAAGATTTTGAAGATCTTCTCCAAATTTCGGGTTGAAAATTTTACCTAGTTTAAATTTTTTATTAATTTTCAACATTTCATCAGCTCCAGTTTTTCCCCAAGAGTTCAGAAGTTTTCAAAATTTGTTCTTTTTTTCTGAATCAGCGTATTTTTTCGTAAAATTATTTTTTTTTTCAAGATTTTAATTTCTCACAAAAAATGTTGATTTTTTTCCAGGTCTCAAAATTATTGTTCAATGTTGCTATTTTATTATTTTTTCTAAAAATTTTACTTAAAAATTTTTGTTTTCATTTTAAAATATATGGTTTCAATTCTTGGAGATTTTGACGTTCTTTTACACAAACATTCAATTTTTTTATTAATTTTCAGCATTTCTTTAGCTCGGTTACAGCTTTTTTCAAAATTTGTTTTTTGAATCACCACATTTTCACTTTTTTTATTCTTTACAAAAATGTTACCCAAAGATTTTCACTTTTTATTAATTTTCAACAATTCATCAGCTCGAGTTTTCTTCCGAAAATATAGTTTTTTTTCAAAATTTATCTTTTGAATCATCATATTTTCTCGAAAAATTATGGACTTTTTTCAAAAATTGTAATTTCTGAATAAAAACTTTGATTATTTGACATTCCTGACCTTTGGAGTCCACGAGTCTTTTAAAAGCAATCTATTTTCATTTGAAAATATGTTGTTTTCAATGATTAAAAAATTTGAAACTCGGGTTTTCCGCCCAAAATTTTAGATTTCTCAAAACTTTGATTTCATACTAAAATTTTGATATTATTTCCAAACTACCTCGTCTACCAAAATTTTAGTTCGTATTTGATCTTTTTAGTGGCTTCTCTCAGTCCGTACATTCCAACAGAAAAAAAAATCATCCTGTATATAACCGATGAAGCAGACACGTTTTATGAATACTTGCACTCTGACGACCCGAAAAACTTTGAAGATTTCTATTTATTTCTTCACTGACATCACCAATTACTAAAAAGTCAGGCATAAAACATTTAGCTATAATTTATTTATTAGCGTCCCAGTTGTTTTATTACTTTATAAAACGAAAATTATGTTCTTTAACTGGTTCTTTAATAAGAACCAGTTTTTCTACCAGATAATGAATTTCTTCACAAGCACTTAACAGTTTTTGTTCCTTTTCGAAAAATTAGCTAAATAAAACCACTTCATAACCATACGATTTAATCATCATTAACCTCAAACAACAGGATAAGTAGCATACAACGTAATCCCGCAGTCCCCCTCAATACTCCTCTCAACCCTAATATACCCCCCTTCGCCCCACTCCTCCCCCCACGAGTTCTTCACCAACCAATAATCCGCCCCATCTTCGTTCCCGTATCCCACCAGCAGCGCCCCATGGTTCGTCGGCACCGGCCTCCGACACTTGAAAATCCCGCCAGCGTACGTGGTCCACGCACGCGCATTAACCTCGACCGCCACCGGACCCACCGCTGCCACCACCCTCCGAAGCACCTCTTCGTCGTAGTCCACCTCAACGTACGCAGTTTCAGTGACCGCTGACGCAATCGACTCGCGATGGCAACTGCCGTCGTCAAGATGGGGGTAATCCGCATCGGCCGCCAGCCCGTGCCCGATCACGTACTTGTAGGCATCTTCAGTCGTACCATTCACGCTGACGCAATCGGCTAGCTCTTGCTCGCTCAGCGCGATGAGTTGGCCGGTTTTTAGGAAATTTTGACCCTCGAGAGCACCGGTCTACAATTTTGGTTGTAATTGGAAATAAGGGGGGTTGGATACGTACGACGCTGAAGAGCCAAGGTGAATCGAGAAGGCCTTGGTTTTTGACTGGGGTGACGGCGCCTTGGTCTCTCCAGTCGACGGAATCGGGGAGGGCGAAAGTCGAGACGGACAACAAGCCGAGGACGCAAATTAGTAACGGTTTCATTTTGCTTTGCAAAAAAATTGAGACTGGTTTGTTTGTGATGGAAGATTTATCTTAAAACGAATCACGCGATTATCTGTTTTTACGAGTAAGTTCGTATCTGGAGATAGTAACAGTGTTCTATTTTTATATATATAAAAAAACTAAATTTGTAACAATGCGGTTTAATAATAGTAATCAATTTCAAACAACTGGATATGTAGCTGCCAAAGTTATTCCGCAATCGGCCCCAGGGGTCCTATCCACCCTAATGTAGCCCTGTTCGCCCCAGGCTTCGCCCCACGAATTCTTCAGCAACCAATAATCCACCCCATCTTCGCTACCATACCCTACCAGGAGCGCCCCATGGTTCAAAGTCTCCGAATCCTCACATTTCAAAATCCCACCGACGTACAACTCCCACTCTAGAGCGTTAACGGCCACAGAAATTGGACCAATCGTGGCAACGGCTTGCCGAAGAGTCTCTTCGTCGTGTTCTACCGTAACGTAGTCACTTTCTGTGACTGTAGAAGGAATAGAGCCTCGATGGCAAGTCCCATCGCTGGGGCCTGGGTAATCCTCTGCGGAAGCCAGGCCATGGGCTATCACATATTCGTAGCCCTCCTCGACGGTTCCTCCGCTACAACCATCTTGGGTTGCACAATCGGCCAGTTCTTGCTCGCTCAAAGGAACGAGTTCACCATTTTTTAAAAAATTTTGGCCCTCGAGAACACCGGTCTGAAAGAGTCAGGGTAGTGCGAATTTGGAATCGGGGTTGGATACATACGACACTGTAGACCCAAGCCCCACAAAGAGCTTGGTTTTTGATGGGGGTGACGGCTCCTTTTTCCCTCCAGTCGACGGAATCGGGAATGTCCGCAACGAAATCGGGGTTAAAAATGCGACGATGTTCCTGTTTGATTTTTTTTTTATTTTGGGGGGTTATTGCAGGAACACTCACCTTAGGGTTGGGGATTGAAAGCACCCCTACGAGGCATAGTGCGAACGAAAGTACCGACAGCTTCATCCTGACTTTTCAACGACCGAATAAATAAGATACGATGATCCGTTTTAAAAATTTTATCTTCGAACAATTCACTCGATTATCAATCAGGCGATCGATTGTTTAACGTTTTTACAGAGACCACACTTGAATGTTTTTAAATTCATATCTGGATAGACAACAAAATAGTGTATTAGACTTTAAATAAATTCCAACTATTTTATGTATATTTTTAATTTCCGGTTGGCAACGATTTGTTTGTAACAAGCAGGAAAATGATCGTTGTTAAAAAGAAATGGTGGGTTATTTGTGGACAAGTTTAGCAAAAAGCCTGTTTTTATGATAATACGTGGTAATAATATGGAGAAAGATGAGGCAGAATGTAATAATAATAAATGAATTGTTAATGTAGGCAACCAAAATTACACAAACTAGTGAAATTTTCCCGGATAAGTCAAATTACTATATATAGGTACAATCGCACGCAAATGCGATCCTATGCCTATGGGCGGATCGTTTTTGCCTGCCCTCACCGAAGAAGGCGGTCCAAATCCTTCAAGGGCAGAATTTGTAGGTAGGCTCAAACTACATACAACGAAATTCACATTTTACCCTATAAAATTTTATTGACAATAACGGGACGGACAGTAGTTATATATACATTTGGTAAGAAATATTTATGGCTCACACCAGTTCTCTCGAATTTGTCGGAGAAGATTTAGCATAAAATAATGGTGACTTTCGTTCGTGAGTAACGATGGTCCGGACATGAATTATTTTGCTTTCTAACATCTTTCGACCAATTGTTCCGTATAAAAAATTTCATCACTTTTTCAAATAAAATACTCTTAAAAAAAAAACGATATTGTCGTTGAGTGACATGTAACTGGCATAATAATAAAAACGTGCCATTTTTGTTAACTGATATTTTTTTGTTTGTATTGATGAGACTGATCGTGTTTAAACTCCATATTAATTTTAATAATAATGAAAATACTTTCAGAGTTTAATAATATATTCGTAGTCACTGCTACACGGGTTTCGGTACACAGTACCGTCTTCAGGCAGAAGAGAAACAGTTTCTCTGACTACGAATATATTATTAAACTCTGAAAGTATTTTCATTATTATTAAAATTGATATTTTTTTCATAAATGTCGCAAAATTATTAAATTTGTCTAATCATCCCCACCAATGATGTGATGACGTCACTTCAAATTTATGCATAGGAAATGGGTTTTAAATTGTATACAGTAACATAGTCCTACACATGTAGTTTATGACTCCGTGTTGAGTTTTTATCCAAAACGTCCAGATTTTTGGAAAAAAAAATCAAAATTATAAAATAATATTCTGCAATTTAATTTTGAATTTGCAAAATCGAATACTTTGAAATCTTGCAGATGTTTTAAAATCATGATAAACATGATACATTTTTAATTAAAATATATTTGCTTATCCCCTCTAAAAAATGTATGACGTCACCTCAAAATTTTGCAGAATAAATCCTATCTTAAATGTATAAAATATGATGAGTTTTATACTTGTGATTTATCACTGCATTCATATTTTTTAGATTTGGTTATACAGGGTATCTCAAAAAAGTTAATGACTGAGTCAATTTATTTTATTGAAGAAATCAAGAATAGCAAAACTGAATACTTTGAAATATTATTATTATTATTATTATTAATTATTAAGTTGAGCGACCGGGCAGAGGCCGAGGCCTGTTATGCCCGCGCTGGTGAGCGGGTTCTAAATCTACTAGTGCATTACTGCGTTGTTTGGGCTCGATAGTGATCGTATCTTTTTTTAAAAACTTGTAGGGATTGACTCTGAATGACCTCGATCGGAAGCATATTCCAAGAATTAAAAACCCTGTTCGTAAGGAATACTTGACGTGGTGTTGTATAGAACTTTTGCTTTTGCAACTTGAATTTGTGTCCTCGCAGTCTAGGGTCCAGGTTCATCATGTATAATTGCCGAATGGGCGATGTAGGGTTTGTGAGAGCCTGAAAGGTAGTGATAAGGTCTCCTCTTATACGTCTATCCGAAAGGGTGGTTAGCTGCATTAGAGAAAGTCTTTCATGGTACTGCGGTCTGACTCTACCAAAAGGCCTTCTGGTAGCTTTACGTTGCACGGATTCTAGCAAGTGGATATCATGTTGCAAGACTGGGGTCCATATTGAATTACCAAACTCTAAAATTGGTCTTACAAAGGTTTTGTACAGTTTAGAAAATGCCACTGGGTGTATTCTAGAAAATGCCTTCCCCAAGAGAAACAGTACTGAGTTCGCTTTCTTGACAGTATGCGCTATGTGGTCAGACCACGTTAGTTCTTGGTTTATGAAGATACCCAAGTCCCGACAGCACTCAGTTTTGGTTAATTCGTTTCCACCTAAATAGTACTTGCACTTTGGGTTTTTCTTTCCGATATGAAGCACGTAACATTTCTCACAATTCAGTGGAAGTAACCAATCTTTAGACCAGTTGTATATTGCGAGCAAGTCCTTTTTCAAAATTATATTTTTACAGCTATTATTATATAATTTGATGTCATCCGCGTACATTGCAAATGGCGACTCAATACTGATTTTAAGGTCAGCAGTATATGCAATAAAAAGTAGAGGGCCCAAAACCGAACCTTGTGGTACTCCACTTAATACTTTTACAGGTTTGCTGAGACTGTTTTCTACTTTAATATTGTAGATGTTTTGAAGTTTTTGTAAGCATGGTAACTTTTTCGAAAATTTGATTAATCAAATATGCAAAAAACAGAAAATCGAAAAATACAAATCGTAAAAATCGAAAATCTAAAAATGGCTAATCAAAAAATCGAAAACTCAATGAATCAAATACCTAGGTCGATCGAAAAGTGGAAACTCACAAACCTCAAAAATCGAAAAATCGAAAATTGAAAAACGGGAAAACAAAAAAATCGAAAAGTCAAAAATTTGTAATGTTGAAAATTAAAAAAATCAAAAACAAAAATAAAAAAAATCGGAAATTAAAATAATCCAAATATATAAAGTAAAAAAAATTGCAAAGCCTAAAAACTGAAACGAACAAAAAAATCGAAAAAGCAAAAAATTGGAAAAACAAAAATTCGAAAAATCTAAAATCGAAAAAGTGGACAATGGAAAATTTGAATAAAGAAACTTGAAAATTCTGAAAATTGGAAAATCGAAAACCAAAAAATCGGAAAGTACCAAAATTGAAGTCTAACAGTTGAGAATGGAAAAATTGAAAAACCGAAAATTCTAAAAATCGACAATGGACAAATTGAAAATTGCAAAATTTAAATTGAAAAATTGAACATAGAAAAATCGATGAATTGAAAAATCGAAAATTCGACTACTCAAATTTTCTACAAATCGAAAAATCATAAAACTGAAAAATCCAAAATTCTAATCATCGAAAGTCTGAAAACTGAAAAACGAAAATTCTGAAAAGCGGAAAATAGAATATCGAAAAATTTAAAAGAAAGAAAATTGAAGTCTAAAAACCGAAAAATGGAAAAATTCAAAATCATAAATTCGAAAAATCAAAACCGAAAAATTCAAAGATTTAAAAAGAAAATCGAAAAATCAAAAATCTGAAAATTGAAACTCGAAAATTTGGAAAATCGAAAAGTAAAAAAATTGAAGTCTAAAAGCTGAAAAATGGAAAACTGAACAATCGAAAATTCGAAAATCAAATATCGAAAAATCGAAAATCAAATATCGAAAAATCGAAAAGCCGAAAAATCGAAAATTTGATAAATCAGATATGCGAAAAACAGAAAATCTGAAAATGCAAAACTGGAAAATCAAAAATCTAAAAACGGAAAAACCGAAAATCGAAAATTCAATAAATCTAATACGTAGGTCGATCGAAAAACTGGAAATTCACAAATCTGAAAAATCGACAATTTGGAAGACTGAAAAACCGAGAATTGAAAAAACAAAAAACCGAAAAATGGAAAAATCAAAAATCAAAAAATAGGAAAACCGAAAATTCGAAAATTCATAATATTGAAAACTCTAAAAGTCGACAATTCAAAAATCAAAAAACTGGAAAGTAAAATAATCGAAAAATCGAA